CAAAGACATTTCTCTAAGTGTCTAAATCATACCCTCTCTTATCTTTAAAAAAATTTTTCTTTATATAACTAGGCCCACATCCAGACCCTCTCTTATTTTAAACATCCAAGAGTAGCCCCCGTTGTAATAACGATTTTAGTCAAAAACGCAGAAAAGGAACACATTACAAAACATAGTAAAACACATTACAAAAGCAAGCAGTTGAAGTTCTGAGAGGAACTTACCTGTTTATACTCTTAGGGATCCATAAGGAAAAACAGAGGTTTCTCCCCAAAAAGGAGTCTGGCACCTTCTCTGTTTTCCTTAAGGAATCCCAAACTGTCAGAAATTATTTTAGGTTCCTCGAGCTGTAGGGGGTGGCAAGAGAAAGGAGACAAGCAGAAGTAAATTGGAGAAAACAGAATTCAGTCAACTAAGAAGAAAAAATAAAACTTTTTCTCAAAACACAAGATCCTGGCCAGGTGGGGTAGCTCTCACCTGTAATCCCAGCACCTTGGAAGCCCAAGGCCGGTGAATAACTTGAGGCCAGGAGTTCAAGACCAGCCTGGCCAACATGGTGAAATCATGTCTCTACTAAAAATACAAAAAATATAGCCCAGCGTGGTGGCGTGCGCTTGTAATTCCAGCCACTTGGGAGGCTGAGGCAGGAGAACCACTTGAACCCAGGGAGTGGAGGTTGCAGTAAGCTGAGATCATACCACTACACTCTAGCCTGGGCGACAGAGTAAGACTCCATCTCAAAAAAAAACCAGATCCTAGGAGAGAAAAAATGCATTAAAAAAAAAAAAAAGCCAGGCGCGGTGGCTCAAGCCTGTAATCCCAGCACTTTGGGAGGCCGAGGCGGGTGGATCACAAGGTCAGGAGATCGAGACTATCCTGGCTAACATGGTGAAACCCCGTCTCTACGAAACATACAAAAAACTAGCTGGGCGTGGTGGCGGGCGCCTGTAGTCCCAGCTACTTGGGAGGCTGAGGTGGGAGAATGGCGTGAACCCGGGAGGCGGAGCTTGCAGTGAGCCCAGATCACGCCACTGCACTCCAGCCTGGGCAACACAGCGAGACTCCATCTCAAAAAAAAAAAAAAATGCATTAAGGTCCCATAAATAAATAAATAAATAAATACACACACACACACACACACACACACACACACACACGCATCTTGGATATGGCCTTTAATTAAGCTTTTAACCATTGAGCTCTTTAAAAAATCCTTTTAAATCTCATTACCATATTTTAGCAGGGACAAACTGCTGATCTTTCAAAAGTAACACAAATATCAAACCAGAAAGGACTTGATTTAGGAACCAAGCCCAGGCCACGGCGGTGAAAAAGGGACAGAATCTTAGCTACCGAAGTAGAGTGAGGTGACAGCCAGTAGCCTCTTCCAATTTGGCTTGGCTGGCAAAAGATGGCCTTGTTATGTAAATAACGCCCCTCAGGTAATCAAAATCCTTCTCTCTCTCTCTCTTTTTTTTCTTTTTCTGGCTGTTTTTTCTTTTTCCTTTTTTTTTTTTTCCTAGCTGCTGGAATTTAGCCGATTCATAAGACCTTGTTCGCCATAATTTGAAACTTTCCTTCAGATTTGACCAAGTCAAGTGGAGTTGGTCCAATCCGATGGAAAACAGACCGGAACAACAAAAACAACAACAGGAACAAGAACAGTCAAGCAAAGGAAACAAACAGTCGAGCAATTTATGCAGTTACTGAGTGCTCTAAAAGTAGGGCGAAATTAAGACCAGCTGGTTGTTAATCGTAACTTCTAGTCATGGGAGCCAGGCTGAAGACTGCTGTCTACCATCCTAGAAGCAGGGAAAACTCACACTTGCCATCCCTGCCGGACACGAGTGAAACTCCAGAAAGGAGGTGCCTACTTGCCGTCATCATGGAAGCCGGAAAACTCACCTTCCTTGTTGAAAACTAGTAAAACGCAGAAAAGGAGCTGTTCAGGGAAATCAACCTTAGATATCAACCAATTTGGGGAGATCAGGAGTTCTCCGGAGGTGGGGAGCTCCCAGGCCTCAGCAAATTGTCTTATTCTGGGGGGCAATCAAGATAGCTCAAGGCCGGCGTGATGGCTCATGCCTGTAATCCCAGCACTTTAGGAGGCCGAGGCAGGTGGATCACTTGAGGTCAGCAGTTCAAGACCAGCCTGGCTAACATGGTGAAACCACATCTCTACTAAAAATACAAAAAATTAGCCGGGTGTGGTGGCACATGCCTGTACTCCCAGTTACTTGGGGAGTTGAAACAGGAGAATCACTTGAACCCAGGAGATGGAGGTTGCAGTGAGCTGAGATCATGCCATTGCACTCCAGCCTGGGTAACAGAGCAAGACCCTGACTCAAAGGAAAAAAAAAAAAAAAGATAGCTCAAGCTGGTACCAAGCACCAACAGGAAATTAGTCAAAGGTCAGGGCCACCTTCACCCAGGGTCCCTTTCATGAGTCTCCAATCTGTAAGTCAAAAAGAATCAAAAAGATTGAGACAGGTCTCAATCCATTTAGAAGTTTGTTTTGTCAAGGTTAAGAACGCACCTGGGAGACAGGTCTGTGCTTTTCTCCAGAGATGACTTTAGGGTGTCAGTATTTAAATGAGAAAAGCAAGCTGGAGGGGAAAGAAGGAAGGTATGGTCACATTACCAAATCCACAGTTTGCAAGAGAAGAGGGGCAGATAGGGAAATAGTCAATTACGTATTTGTCTTGATCTCAATAAATCAACGCTTACATAAGATAACGTGAACATAGAGTAGCGACCTGTGGGGATATTTAACCTTTTTTGTTGTTGTTGTTGTTGCGAAGGCTGGAGTGCAGTGGCGAGATCTCGTCTCACTGCAACCTCTACCTCCCAGGTCCAAGCAATTCTTGTGCCTCAGCCTCCTGAGTAGCACGTGCCACCACACCCCGCTGATTTTTGTATTTTTAGTAGCGATGGGGTTTCACCATATTGGCCAGGCTGGTCTCGATCTCCTGACCTCAGGTGATCCACCCGCCTCGGCCTCCCAAAATGCCGGGCCAATATTTAACCTTTCATCTGAAGCTATCTGCTTAGGAACTAAAGGATAGGCAGTTTCTTGCATGACTCAGCCTTTAGCTTAATTTTTTTTCTTTTGGCATAGTGAGTTGGGGTCCCAATTTTTTATTTTCCTTTCACAAAACTGAGGACAGAAAGAGGAAGTGGAAAGAGGGAGGAGGAATGGTTGTGGGAAAGGCAGGAGGAAGCTGCCAAAGAAGAAAACTTGGCCAGATTCCCCCTCCCTTCTGAGAGCCCCAGTGGCCTCGAGCCAGGGGGGTGGATCCTGGCGGCGGGGAGGGAGGGTGTAGCCAGCCCCAGGGCCCCATTGGCTGCCCAGAGGTGCCAGGGGAATAAAGCCCAGGACTGGGTAGCCCCTGGGACCATTCAGAAGACTGCCCACCCGTCCTCAGCCCCCTCTCTTCGTGGGCTATCTACTCAGTTGATCCCTCCCTCCCTTGCTGGCTTGGCTCTGTTTGCTGCTCAGACCCATCACCTTTGTCGGGTAAGTGGCCCCATCCTCAGTCCCACCTCAGGACTGGAGTGTCCTGGGGTAGCCTGTGGTTTCCCAGGGGAAGAGGGAGGCATAGAAAGAGTCCGTCAAGGCTGGGCATGGTGGCGGATGCCCGTAATCCCAACACTTTGGAAAGCTGAGGCGGGAGGGTTGCTTGAGGCCACAAGTTCGAGACTGAGCTGGGCAACAGAGTGAGACCCCCATCTCTACAAAAAAAAAAAACAAAAAACTTTTTTTTTTTTTTTTTTGACGGAGGTCTCACTCTGTCACCCAGGCTGAAGCACAATGGCATAATCTGGGCTCACTGCAACCTCTGCCTCCTGGGTTCAAGCAATTCTCCTGCCTCAGCCTCCCGAGTAGCTGGGACTACAGGTGTGTGCCACCACGCCTGGCTAGTTTTTGTATTTTTAGTAGAGATGAGATTTCACCATGTTGGCCAGGCTGGTCTCGAACTCCTGACCTAAAAAAAGAATTTAATTAGTAGAGTGTGGTGGTGCACACCTGTAGTCCCAGCTACTGGGGAGGCTGAGTTGGGAGGATCGCTTGAGGCCAAGAGGTCGAGGCTGCAGCGAGCAATGATTGCACCCCTGCACTCCAGCCTGGGTGACACAGCAAGACCTTGTCTCAAATTTTTTAAAAAGAGCCAGTTGGGCCTAAACACTGTCTGAGTTTGTGTCCAGTTCTGTGCCTCAGCTTCCACATCTGTAGAATGGGGATGAGTGTAGCACCTTCCTCTCAGGTTGTGAGGGTGAAAGGATGACCTGCACTTAAGGTGTCTAGCCCAGATTTCGTAACAGTTCATACCGACTGAATGCTTACTGAGAACCAAGTGAGAGGGAAGGCGGCTTCCGACTGCCGAAGTCGAGTGTGCAGACAGCAGCTTCAGGGCCTCCCTCCTCCTCCCCAGGCACAACGTCTTCTGAAGTCTTCTGATCCTTGGGGCAGGGTGGGACTGGCAGGCTGGATTCAGTTAACGGATGCTCGCTTCATGGAAAGCCGTGGCAGAGAAGGGGCTGCCTGCAGAGGGAGCCCTGGCCTTTTACCTGAAGGCACCGCCTGGGACAAATGGAGCCCCAAATCCACCTGAAAAGGGTCTCCGTGGCTGGCTCCTCCAATTCCCACCCCGGTTGTCCCTGAGGCCAGGCCTTGGTGACCTACACCGGCCTCTAATGCCAAGTCAGTCAGAACTGGGTGCGTGGTGGCTCATGCCTGTAATCCTACCACTTTGGGAGGCTGAGGCAGGTGGATCACTTGCGGTCAGGAGTTTGAGACCAGCCTGGCCAACATGGTGAAACCCTGTCTCCATTAAAAACGCAAAAATTAGTCGGGCATGGTGGTGCACGTCTGTGATCCCAGCTACTTAGAAGGCTGAGGCAGGAAAACCGCTTGAACCCAGAAGGTGGAGGTTGCATCGCACCACTGCACTCCAGCCTGGGCGACAGAGGGAGATTCTCTACAAATAAATAAATAAAAACCAGGATCCCATTGTTTGGGGATTAAGCTCCAGGAGCTGAAAGTTCATTCTGATTTGGGGATGTCCTGTTTTGAAGTATGCCCCAGTCTCTGACTTTTATTCAAGAGATCCAGCAGAGAGAGGGTGTCTATTCAAGTTCCCCTCCCAGGCCCCGAATGTCAGTTAATTCATATAGACAAGGGGTGACCTAGTTAGGGAATGCTAAGGCTGGTGGGGCAGTTGGGATCCCCACCCCTCATTCTCCCTCTGACCAAGGGATGTCTGGCTCATTCTGGGACGGGGGGATGGATGTCCAGTTCAGGAGTGCCCGGGACAGGGGGTGGATGAGGTGGCATTGGAGATGGGTCTCTGGCTAGCCACCGTTGCCTGGCCTTCTGGGATGGTGGCGGGAGGGGGAACCAGAACACTCCTCAGCCAACGCCTGCTAATCTCTTCTGGCCGGGCCCAAGTTGAAGAGAATCAAATCCACCCTGGGACTCTCAGCGGAAGGTGGGGGAGATGGAAAGGCTGGATGGGCAGATGTGGCTGTGGCTAGACCCCAGGCCACCCCAACTGCTTCATCCTTGAGAGCCCATCCCAGAAGCGGGAGCCTGAGCCACGCCCATGGGGTCTCAGAGAGAGCCTGAGCCCTGGAGCCAACTGCTCCTGGGTGAGTTCAAATCCTGCCTCCCTGCCTCACTCACAGTGTGACTTTGGGCAAATTATGTTAATAGTCTGCTTCCTGTTGCTGTGTACCAAACTACCCCAAAATGTGACTTAAAATAACAGCAAGCCAGGTGCTGTGGCTCATGGCTGTAATCCCAACAGTTTAGGAGGCTGAGGCGGGCAGATCACTTGAGACCAGGAGTTGGAGACCAGTCTGGCCAACATAGCAAGACTCCACCTCTACCAGAATAAATAAATAAATAAATAAATAAATAAATAAATAAATAAAATTTAAAAGCTAAGTGATTAGTCAATGATATAATAATTATGACAAAGTTAGTAATTACGAAAGAGCTTTTCCTAACTGAATATTGGGCTTCCCAAAAGTTAGGGTTTTTTTTTTAAATAAATATTTATTGAACATCTACTATGAGTCAGGCATTCTGCTGGGTCCTGGGATCGTCCATTTAAGCCAAGATACTTGGAATTGCATGTCAGAAGAGCCAGCTGCCAGGGTTTTTTTCTAATGTATGCATTTAAGTAAGTAATAGAGGCACATGGGTAAAACATTCAAACCATGCAAAAGGTGGGTGCTATGATCCTGAGGGCCAGCTCTCCTCAAAAGCCCCACCCTGGCCAGCCTGTCACACGTGTTTTCCAAGATGCTCTGTGCACATGGAAACATGTGAACAACAACAAAATTCAAATAAAAAAATTTTAAAAATAAAAGAAACATGTAGACTATATGTGTGTGTATGGATGGATTGTGTGTGTGTGTGGATGGATCGTGTGTGGTGGATGGATTGTGTGTGGGGGTGGATCGTGTGTGTGTGTGTGGATGGAGTATGTGTGTGTGGATATGTGTGTGGGTGTCCCTGAATTTTCGCATAGATAGATAGACTATTTTTTATTTTTTATTTTTTTGGAGAAGCAGTCTCACTCAGTTGCCCAGGCTGGAGTGCAGTGGCTTGATCTTGGCTCATTACAAACTCCACCTCCCGGGTTCAAGTGATGCTCCTGCCTCAGCCTCCTGAGTAGCTGGGATTATAGGTGCCTGCCACTATGCCTGGCTATTTCTTTTTTCTTCTTCTTCTTTTTTTTTTTTTTCTCAAGACAGAGTCTTGCTCTGTCGCCCAGGCAGGTGTGCAATGGTGCGATCTTGCTCACTGCAACCTCCACCTCCTGGGTTCAAGTAAGTGATTCTCCTTTCTCAGCCTCCTAAGTAGCTGGGCTTACAGGCACGCACCACCATGCCCAGCTAATTTTTTGTATTTTTAGTAGAGACAGGGTTTCACCATGTTGGCCAGGCTGGTCTCAAAATTCTGACCTTGTGACCTACCTGCCTTGGCCTCCCTATTGCTGGGATTACAGGCATAAGCCACTGTGCCCAGCCTCACCTCATGCATTTTGAAAGCTACAAGGTTTGAGTGTTGTCTCTTCAGCCTCCCAGCAAATGTGTGAGAAGTCAGGAGTGGAGGGTGATACCTGTCCCCATTTTACAGATGACAGAGCTGTGGCCAAAGCGTAATTTCCTGTCTGATGTCACATGGCGAGTAGGTGGCCCACCTGTGATTAGAGCCCAGGTCTCCAGGATGCTGTCTGGTCTGAGCCCTTGCTTGGCTTGCTGGGAAGCGAAGGAAGGGGTCACTCTGGCTGGCTCTCCTAACCCTCTGGGTTTCCTTCGTTTCTGCCAGTAATGATGTCCGGAGAACCCCTGCACGTGAGGACCCCCATCCGTGACAGCATGGCCCTGTCCAAAGTGGCCGGCACCAGCGTCTACCTCAAGATGGACAGTGCCCAGCCCTCCGGCTCCTTCAAGATCCGGGGCATTGGGCACTTCTGCAAGAGGGTACGGGACCGGGTCAGCATCGTCTGGACAGGGGTGGCAGGTCCTCCTTCCTCACCAGGGCAGGGCCAGTGCTGTGTGAAATTAAAGTCATCGTGGGATAAGCCTACTGACTCCCCACAATGACTGAGCGTCCACCATTAGGGCTTCCTCTGCTGGAGGGGTGCCCCTCCAGGAGGGTCCCTCAGGACTGATCCCAGAGCCATCAGTCGCCTGTTTTCCTCCACCCCTTCCTGAGCCAGTCTCTTTGGAGAGGGGCGGTGCAGTCTCAGACAAGGGTAGAACAAATTCCGAGTGAAGGAAAGGTCTGTGTCCAGTGGAATCCTGGCAGGTATTCCAGGTGGACAGGAAGAGCACAGGCAATGACTGGGAGGTGGGCCTGAGAGCCTCTCCTGTTGTCTCCACAGTGGGCCAAGCAAGGCTGTGCACATTTTGTCTGCTCCTCGGGTAAGTGACCTGCTTCCCCATCCTGTCCTCTGCTGTGTGTCCTGGGGTCAAGTACTCCGCTTCTCTGAGCCCTGGTTTCCCCAGCAATGTGCCATTGAAAACACTGGCAGCAGCCAGCAGTTTGGAATTCCAGGGGGGAGGCCAGCAGTCACCCAGGGTGGGGAGGTGAGGGGGGAACTCCAGAGCCCCCAGGAGAGGGTAAGCAGTCCTGCCTGGGCTCCCAGATGCTCCCGCACTGACACCCTCTCCACCCCCGACCCTGGCAGCGGGAAATGCAGGCATGGCAGCTGCATATGCAGCCAGGCAACTGGGCGTCCCTGCGACCATCGTCGTGCCCAGCACCACACCTGCTCTCACCATTGAGCGCCTCAAGAATGAAGGTGCCACAGTCAAGGTGGTGGGTGAGGTGAGTGCTGACCCAGGGCAGGGCAGAGAGAGGGTACCTGGTGGCTGGACAGGGTCCCCCCTGTGCCTCACCCCCTCCCATCTCCCCTGTGGTTTCGCAGTTATTGGATGAAGCCTTCGAGCTGGCCAAGGCCCTAGCAAAGAACAACCCAGGCTGGGTCTACATTCCCCCCTTTGACGACCCCCTCATCTGGTATGTGGAGTTCACGGTCACTCGGTGGGGGTGGCAGCCACTGCCCTATATCACCGGGCAGGCATTGCTATGATGCACATCATCGCATCCTCATGCACAGCAGCTGCACATGTGTGCACACACCACCATGTAGAAGCACACTGAGGCGGGGCACAGTGGCTCACACCCGTAATCCCAGACTTTGGGAGGCCAAGGTGGGAGGATCACTTGAGGTCAGCAGTTTGAGACCAGTCTGACCAACATGGTGAAACTCCATCTCTACTAAAAATACAAAAATTACCCGGGCGTGGTGACACATGCCTGTAATCCCAGTTACTAGGGAGGCTGAGGTAGGAGAATTGCTTGAACCCAAGAGGTGGAGGTTGCAGTGAGCCAAGATCGCACCACTGCACTCCAGCCTGGGTAAGAGAGTGAGACTCCATCTCAAAAAAAAAAGAAAAGAAAGAAGAAACACACATGTTCACATGTTACACCCAGGTGCAGCAGCAGGTGCACACACGTGCACCAAATGCCCATTCTCCACGGCTGCACCCACAACACACCCAAGGCTGAACATGCAAGCACACAGGTGTCCAAGTGTCAGCAGCTGAGTCCTCCGGGAAGCAGACTCGGGCACAAAGGTTTCAGGGAAAGGAGTTTATTTGGGAGGCGATTCAGTGGGGGAGTGGGGAAGTGAGCCGGGGAAGGCAGGGGGCTGGCTTTTTTCTTTTTTCTTTTTCTATCATCCAGCCCAAAATGTCAGGAAGGGGGCTTTCAAGGGCAGGTGGCCACTGTGGGTGGCTGGAGCTTAATCCCTTGGGGACCCTGGGAGCCATTGTAGAAGGTGGGCCACAGTTTCCCTCTCCCTGGGAGAAGGAGCAGGGGAGTTTGTTCGCCGACCCGTAGCCGTTGGTTGAGGGCTCCTCTAAGGGGCTGCCATCTCCTGACTCTGTTTGCAGGTAGCTCAGGTGGCCAGAGAAAGTCCTCAGGTAGAAACACAGATGCTGGCAGCTGGAAGCCGAGGTGGCGGGTGGGGAGGGAAGTAGCTCCAGGCCCCATCAGCTGGGATGAGGCCGGTGCAAACCTGAGCTGGTGTCTCCAGGAAGCCTAGCCCTGACCCGCCACCCCCTCTCCCCACCCTCCAGGGAAGGCCACGCTTCCATCGTGAAAGAGCTGAAGGAGGCACTGTGGGAAAAGCCGGGGGCCATCGCGCTGTCAGTGGGCGGTGGGGGCCTGCTGTGTGGAGTGGTCCAGGGGCTGCAGGAGGTGGGCTGGGGGGACGTGCCTGTCATCGCCATGGAGACCTTTGGCGCCCACAGCTTCCACGCCGCCACCACCGCAGGCAAGCTCGTCTCCCTGCCCAAGATCACCAGGTGAGCAGCTGGGGTGCCTCCCTCAGGTGTCCAGCAAGCATTGGGGAGTCCCCTTTAGGTCTGGCTTCGAGATAGATCCTGATGTTAGCCTGTTCTACAGATGAGGAAATGGAGGCTTTGATCACTTGCCCAGGGTCACATCCAGTGAGTGGTACAGCTTGGACTCAAGCCCAAGTCTGTGTGACTCCACCACGTCACACTTCCTCACATGAAAAGCCTCATATGAGGCTGGGCACAGTGACTTGTGCCTGTAATCCCAGCACTTTGGGTGACTGAGGCAGGAAGATCACTTGAGGCGGAGTTCAAGACCAGCCTGAGCAACATAGAGAGATTCCCACCTCTAAAAAAAGTTGTTTTTTTGTTTTTGTTTTTGTTTTGTTTTGTTTTGTTTTGTTTTTTAACTAACTGGGCATGGCAGCACACACCTATAGTCCCAGGTATTCAGAAGGCTAAGGTGGGAAGATTGCTTAAGCCCAGGAGGCTGATGCAGTGAGCCATGATCATGCCAGTGCACTCCAGCCTGGGTGACAGAGCAAGACCCTGTCTAGAAACAAAGAAAAAGGGAGGAAGGAAGGAAGAGAGGAAGGAAGGGAGGGAGGGAAGGAGGGAGGGAAGGAAGGAAGGAAGGAAGGAAGGAAGGAAGGAAGGAAGGAAGGAAGGAAGGAAGGAAGGGGAAAGGAAAGGAAGAGAAAAGAAAAGAAAAAGAAAGAGAGAGAAAAAAGAAAGAAAGAAAGAAAGAAGGAAAGAAAAAGAAAGAGAGAAAGAAAGGAAGAAAAGAAAGAAAGCAAGAAAGCAAGAAAGAGAAAGAAAGAAAGAAAGAAAGAAAGAAAGAAAGAAAGAAAGAAAGAAAGAAAGAAAAAAAAAAAGAAAGAAAGAAAGAAAAAGAAAGGAAGGAAGGAAGGAAGGAAGAAAGAGACGGAGGGAGGGAGGGAGGGAGGCAGGCAGGCAGGCAGGCAGGAAGGAAGGAAGGAAGGAAGGCCGGCCGCATAGGAATCATTTACTGAGTCCTCTGTGGCAAGGTTTTACATACCTCATTACTTTGCCAACCATTTACTGAGCCCCTATTGTGTGCAAGACACTGGCTGATCTGGGGACAGAGTGGCGCATAAACCCAAGTCTTGCTCCTAAGGAGTTCATATCCAAGCCCCAAACCTTTGATAGATAGTTTTTGTTTGTTTGTTTTGAGACGGAGTTTTGCTTTCGTTGCCCAAGCTGCAGTGCAATGGCATGTGCAAGTGCCAATTGGAGTACAAGTGCCATGACACTTGGCTAATTTTGTATTTTTAGTAGAAACGGGGTTTTACTGTGTTAGCCAGGCTAGTCTCAAACTCCTGACCTCAGGTGATCTGCCCACCTCAGCCTCTCAAAGTGCTGGGATTATAGGCATGAGCCACCATGCCTGACCGATAGATAGTATTTAATTAGGATTAGGTTTTGGCCCCATTACACAGAAGCCCCAAGTAACAGTGGCTTAGATGAGATTGAACTTTATCAAGAAAAGTCAGGGCCCCGGGTCCATTAAGTTTGTTTCCCCATTATCCTTAGCATGTAGCCTTTTGGTCCAAAATGGTTGCCTGAGTGCCAGCTATCACACCCACATTCCATGTGGCAGGGAGGGGGAAGCAAGGGCAGAAGGCTATGCTCCAACCTTCAAAGACAGACACAAAACTTCCACTTACCTTTTGTTGGCCTGAACGTAGTCACATGGCCACATGCAGCTGCCAGAGAGGCTGGGAAATGTCTTTATACCAGGTGATCATATGTGCAGCTAGAAAAGACACCAGGGCAGACAATAGTCTCCACTACAGACAGGGAAGACTGAATCCAGCCAGATAAGAACTTCTTCTGGCTTTCTGAGCCTGGCATCTGGAGCTTCTGTGTCCCACACTATAGGGACTGAAGACGTCATGGCTGAGTGCCTACTGTAAACCACGTGCTGCTGAGGGCTGAGGTGGCCAAGGCCCTCAAGATGCTCCTGGGGAAGGGAGAGGGGGCAGTTGAGCTGGGAACAGAGCCAGTGGTCACCCCGGGGGGCTGGGGACAGCGCCAACACATTGGTTACCAGCGCAGGTCTTGAAGTTATACAGATCCTGCTTGCAGCCCCAGCTCCAGCACTCCCTAGGTGTGTGACCTTGGGCAAATGACTGTATACTCTGCCTCAGTTTCCCCTTCCCAAAATCAAACCAATTAACAACAGCAGAGTTCTTGTGTGAATTCAATAATGCTTGTGAAGTGCTTGGCACCTAATGCTTTCTCAAAAAGTAATCAGGGTGCTTGTTACTATAGGGGAGTACCATTTGAGAATTCCACATAGGGCCGTGGGACTCAGTACTCTCCCAGGAGGACTCCTTGGAGGAGGTGGCCTTAATCCTGAGCCTTGAAGGACAGAGCAGGATGTGGGCAGGCAGAGTGGTACTAAGCCTTATGAGGGTTAACCAGGTAGAGGTTGCAACCCGGAGCAAAGGCAGGGAGTCCTATCAGGGAACAACAAGGGTCCTCTTAGGCATTTGCTCCTGACTTAGTGTTGATCAGAATATGATGCTCTGCCAAGGCAGGAGGATCACTTGAGCCCAGGAGTTCAAGACTAGCCTGGGGTTGGGCATGGCGGCTCATGCCTGTAATCCCAGCACTTTGGGAGGCCAAGGTGGGTGGATCACCTGAGGTCAGGAGTTTGAAGCCAGCCTGGTCAACATGGTGAAACCCCATCTCTACTAAAAATACAAAAATTAGCCAGGCGTGGTTGGGCACCTGTAGTCCCAGCTACTTGGGAGGCTGAGGCAGGAGAATTGCTTGAACCCAGGAGGCAGAGATTGCAGTGAGCCGAGATCGTGCCACTGCACACTCCAGCCTGGGCAACAGAGCAACACTCCATCAAAAAAAAAACAAAAACAAAAACAAAAAACCCAGCGTGGGCAACATAGTGACACCCCCCCGTCTCAAAAAAATTAAAAATAGTGATAATAAAGAATATACTATGTGATGCCAATTCAAACACTCTCACCTTATTAGAATACCCCACTTGGTTCGGGGATCCCTGAGGCTTTTCAGTGCTTTACGGCTGCAGAGGTGACACCTGTCCCCCTTGCCCATGGATTCACTGCCTTCTCCGTCTCACATCCATCTCCTTCTCTCCCTCCCTGCCCCCATCTCTCTCCTGTTTCCCCCACTCCCATCCTCTTCTGGGTTCCCACTTCTCTCAGTGTTGCCAAGGCCCTGGGTGTGAAGACTGTGGGGGCTCAGGCCCTGAAGCTGTTTCAGGAACACCCCATTTTCTCTGAAGTTATCTCGGACCAGGAGGCTGTGGCCGCCATTGAGAAGTTCGTGGGTATGTGCCAGGATCTCTCGTGACCTGACCCGCTGACTCAGGAGCTAAGTGGCTGTCCACTTGGTGTGCCACTGGGGATCCCACTCACCCCAAATTTTCTCCACAGTTCTGTCTTCCATCTCTGCCTAGAACCTTCCATTAACGGAAGGTAATACAATGCAGTGTAGACATGGAAGAGCAAAAGCCACACATAATAGAAAAGTAAATAGAAAAGTAAGCCTGATAACCATAGCAGCAGAAAACAATAAGTATTTAAAATAATCCTTCTGAGTTTCCTGGTAACCAGAGTAAAAAAGGAAAACATGGGGCTCAGAGTTGGATTCATTCAGAGGTGGGTCTGTAACTAGGTTGGACTCTTTCTGGGTTCAGTCTAGGGCAGGGATGGCAAAAAAGAGAGAAAAAAATAGTACCATTTATGCTTCTGTACCTGCTGCACACTTGGCTAATCAACCATGGAACTCTTGCTCAGATGATGCCTCAGAATTCTTCTCAACACAGTGCTCAAGCAACCACACTCATTCTATCAGTGTTAGCACTCATAACGAAACCCAGGCCCTGGCTCAGGCTTGGAAGGGCCAATTCAGGGTGATAACGGGATGTGCGGTCCAGGACCTGCATCTGCACCCAGGGTTGAGAGCTGATTGGCTCAGTATTCCCAAGTCCTGCCAATGGCCTGTCAGCTCCTGTGCACCCTGAGAAACTCAGGCCACACCCCTGTCACTCCCCTTCTCCGGCAGATGATGAGAAGATCCTGGTGGAGCCCGCCTGCGGGGCAGCCCTGGCTGCCGTCTACAGCCACGTGATCCAGAAGCTCCAACGGGAGGGGAATCTCCAAGCCCCCCTGCCATCCCTCGTGGTCATTGTCTGTGGGGGCAGCAACATCAGCCTGGCCCAGCTGCGGGCGCTCAAGGAACAGCTGGGCATGACAAATGGGTTGCCGAAGTGATGACGGACCCTTTCCGATCTGTCCTCTCCTAGCCCAGGAGACCCCTGGAGGGGCTGGAGTTTTATCCAGCGCCTCGATGTATGTTTGGTTGAGCGCCTGTGGCCCAGGTGCAGGTTAACTTCTTGTTATCAGGAGCCCACTATACAGATGCCAAAGGTCGGCAGTCAATGAGGCTATGAACTGGACCTTTTTGGTATCTGTGTGACTGCGCTGTGCCCATCCTTAGCCAACTTGCTGGCATGACAGGTGCCCACAAGTAACACACCAGGTCCCCAGAGGAGGGTGGATGGGAGAGACCTGAATCACAGCAGTGAGGAATTCCTCAAAGCTGTGACCCTGCCCGAGAACTTGTTCCCAGGGAAGGTAAACAGGGCCACCATCCAGGGTTGAGGAACCATCTCAGCCATCCTCCCAGGAAGCCCACCCCTGACCCTTACAAATTTTTCTAATATGCAAACTTTTTCATTGAAAAACTAAAATATATTTATGAAACAAAGATCCTGTGTGTTTTCCCGTCATCAGCTGTCTTCCTTCCTGCTTTCCTTCCTTAGAAGGAAGACCTTGGGGTCTTCTAATAAGCAGACCCTAAGTCTGCTCTCAGCCCCAGTTCTCAACTGGGGCCCCAGAGTGAGGCCAGGAGCCTGACTCCAGCTGGTCTTGTGTGCCAGGAGAGGGGCATCCCTGTACCACAGGAAGCAGGTGTCTAAACAAGAGGGACTTGGGGTAGGACAAAGGCTGCCTCCGCTGAAGGCAAAAGCAGCTGAGGAGGCCAACTTCATTCTGATAGGAAGTCCTTCCTGGTAAGTCAGAATTATTTCATCACAGAATTATTTCATCACAGACCCAATGGAAGTAAAGAAGTGAGGCCCCCTCCCCTGGGGGTGTGTGAGCTGACACTGGACAACCATCTCTGGGAGAGGGAAGGGGTGGTTGGACTTGAAGTCAATGTCATGCAAACCCTCCTCAAATATGGAACCATCTCTTCCAATGAAAGAATGTGCTGAAGCCCGTATCATAGTTCAAAGAGAAATTACTGGAGCTGGCTCCAGAGCATGGAGGGAACCCCACCCTCAAGGCACTTTTTGGATGACCCCAAGTTCAAACTGAAGTTTAAGAGTCACTCAGAGCCGAGCACAGTGGCTCATGCCTGTAATCGCAGCACTTTGGGAGGCCAAAGCAGGCGGATCACTTGAAGCCAGAAGCTCGAGATCAACCTGGCCAACATGGTGAAACCCCGTCTCTACTAAAAATACAAAAATTAGCCAGGCATGGTGGTGTCCACCTGTAATCCCAGCTACTCCAGAGGCTGAGACGGGAGAATCGCTTGAACCCACAAGGCAGAGGTTGCAGTGAGTGAGATTGTGCCACTGCACTCCAGCCTGGGCAAAACAAGTGAGACTCTGTCTTAAAAAAAAAAAAAAAAATCACACAGATCTGAATGATCCAAAGCCTGCCTGGAATAGGACCGCCTCCAGCTTCCACTGTCCAGCCTGAGCCTGGCACAAAGCCCCAGCCTGCTAGAGGCGGCACCGGGGCACTGTGGGCAGGGGCTGACCAGCTGGCCAGAGCCTTACCCTTCAGGGAGGCAGCAGCAATAGAGGTGCCTGCAGCGGCCATCTTGAAGCTGAGGATTGTGGGAAACTCACAGTGCTCAGAGTCAAGTGGCACTACCTTCGCAGCTGCCTCTGGAAAGGTGGGTCCCGCCTTTGCTGAGCTAGCTGATGTCCCAGTCGGGGACCATCTGCATGACCACCCCCGTATGCTCTGTGCAGTCAGCCTGGCTTCATGACTATCCCCACCTCCTGGAAAACAGAAAGCAGCCGGAATCATTCTAGGGAATAAGAAAGTGATCCTGGGTGAGAACCACCACCTGGGTCTCCACTCGCTCATCTGTAAAATGGGTCTCCCGGAAGCCCCAGCCTCAGGAGTGGCCGTGAAGATTCAGTGGCTGGAGCACAGTAGGTGTGGCCTGTTTCACCAGGGCCTGCACCATCACAAGGAGATGAGGAAGGCAGGCTGGGCTCCAATCCTGGCTCTGATGGGCCCAGGTCTTCAGACTTTGAGCACGTCACCTCCCTGCCCCAAACCTGCTTCCTCATCTGTAAAACATAAATGATAACCCCAGCCTCTCCCAACAGGGCTATCCTGAGAAGGAAGAGAGACTCAGGTATGAAAACACTCTGAAGAATTGGGAAATGTACCAACAGAAAGTTAGTTTTTAAAACCACAAGTTGGCCAGGCGTGGTGGCTCATGCCTGTAATCCCAGCACTTTGGGAGGCCGAGGTGGGAGGATCGCTTGAGCCCAGGAGTTCAAGACCAGCCTAGTTGGCACAGTGAGACTCTGTCTCTACAAAAAGGAAAAATAACTTGAACCCGGGAGGCAGAGGTTGCAGTGAGCCAGGATTATGCCACTACACTCCAGTCTGGTGACAGAGCGAGACTCCGTCTCAAAAAAATAATAAAAAGGAAAATAAAATAAGATAAAAACCACAAGTCAATTCCCAACCCCATACCCCAACCTTGCTTTATTTTCTCCACGCGTTTACCAGCACTGACACACTGCATATTTCTTTTTTCTTTTTTTTTTTTTTTTACTATCTCCCCAATGTAAACTTCACAAGAGCAGGGACGCTTTGGTCCCTTTTGTTATAAAGTATCCCCTGGACCTCATAACAGTGCCTGGCATGTACTAGGGGTTCAATAAGTGTTTGCTAATGAAGAGATGCTGACTGCATGAGGCCCCGTATGGGCTGCATCACATCCCCCAGGGAAACGCTGCTCACACCATTACCCCATTTCACAGATGAGGTAATCGAGGCTCAGAGAGGTTGAGTCCATAGCTAGCTAGTAAGAGGTGGAGACAGAATTCAAACCCAGGTCTCTGACTCCAGGGCTGTGTGCTTTCCTCTCTCCAAGCACACAACACTGGGAGAGTCTTGTCTCCAAGGCAGGCTGCATGAGATCAGACAGGGAGAGAGCCTCTTTTTGTATCAGTCTGTACACCACAATATGGCTTAGGAAGGTCTTGGTGGTTAACAAGGCTCCCAAATAGGACCCAGAACATAGGTGCTCCATAAACATCTGGATGAATGAATGGATGGATGGATATGAATGAATGGGTGTGGATGAATGGGTGATAAATGAATAGGTGGGTGGATGGATGGGTGGGTGGGTAGATGAATGGATGGATGGATGGATGGATGAGTGAGTGGATGGATGGGTATATAGGTGATAAATGGATAGGTGGATAGATGAGTGAATGGGTGGATGGGTAGATGGATGGAAAATGAACAGATGGAAATGGTTGGATGGGTGGATAAATGGTCGGAAGGATGGATGGATGGGTGAGTGTGTAGATGGATGATAAATGGATAGGTAGGTAGATGGATGAGTGAATGTGTGGGTAGATGGATGGAAAATGAACAGATGGAAATGGTTAGATAGGTGGATAAATGGTTAGAAGGATGGATAGATGGGTGAGTGGGTGGATGGATAGGTAGATAGGTGATAAATGGATAGGTAGGTGGAAGGAGGAGTGAATGGGTGAACGGGTAGATGGCTGGAAAATGAACAGATGAAAATGGTTGGATGGATGGTTGGATGGGTGATTGGATGGATGGATGGGTGGATGGGTGACAAATAGGTAGGTGGATGGGTGGATAGGTGAGTGGGTAGATGACTGGGTGGGTAGATGGATGGATGGGTTGGTGGGTGGGTGGATGGATGGATAGGTAGTTAGATGGGCGGGTGGATGAATGGGTGGGTAGATAAATGGGTGGGTGGATGGATAATAGATAGGTAAGAACTTCGTAAGCCATGCTGTGGTGTACAGATCAATACATAAAAACCTCCCTCCCTGTCTGATCTCATTGGTGGATGGATGAGTGAATGGCTGGATGAATAAATGGGTGGGTGGGTAAGTGGATGGAAAATGGACAGATGAGGCCAGGCACGGGGGCTCACACCTGTAATCCCAGCACTTTGGGAGGCCAAGATGGGCGGATCACCTGAGGTCAGGAATTCAAGACCAGCCTGACCAACATGGTGAAACCCCGTCTCTACTAAAAATACAAAATTAGCCAGGCATGGTGGCTCATGCCTGTAACCCCAGCTACTCGGGAAGCTAAGGCAGGAGAATCACTTGAACCCGGGAAGCAGAAGTTGCAGTGAGCAGAGATTGCACCATTGCACTCCAGCCTGGGCAACAGAGTGAAACTCCCTAAGAAAGAAAAGAAAAAAGAAAAGAAAAGAAAAGGAAGGGAAAGGAAAGGAAAGAAATGAGGAAAAAGGAAAAAGAAAAGGAAAGGAAAGGAAGAAAAGAAAGAAAATGGACAGATAGAGATGGCTGAATGGTTGGCTGGATGATTGGATGGTTGGATGGGTGGGTGGATGGCGGGGTGGATGGATGATAAATGGATAGGTAGGTGGGTGGATGGATGGAAGATGGATGGGTGGGTGGGAGGCTGTGCAGATGGATGACGGGTGAGTATGTTGGCAGATGAGTGAATGGACAGAAGGACAGACAGAGGGCTGTACAGGAGGCTGCATGGGGGATGATGGCACAGAACGCAAACCTGAGAGGAAAAAAGGCGCTGACCCCGGCTTCCCTGCCACCCCAAGAAGCACAGCATGGGGCCAGAGCCACTCTTGTTTAATGGTGGCACAGCCTGCAGTCTGGTTCCTCCATCAGGGCGCTGTGGGCATGGCCCTGAGGTGAGGGACAGGCCTGGGGTGGGGTGGGGGCCTGAGGCAGAAGCATGGGGGCTGACCCTCTGCCTGACATGGAGAGAGGACATTCAGAACCCTCCAGCCACAGATGGCCAGAAACTTTGGTTTGTGTTTGTTTTCAAGTTTCTGTCCTCAAGGAAGCTGTCCAGAAAGGGAGACGAAGGGACTGCTTCCTGAGGGAGCAGAGGGGCCAGAGCTGGGAGGAGCAACGCCAGCCGGAGACAATGCCCAGACAAAACTCACCAGCTCCAGGGCCACCCGTGGGAATGCAGCTGGGAGAAGGGTGCTGTAACAGGCTCCTCCCACCCCATGGGAGCCCCAGAGTCTGACCCCAGGACCTTCCCAAGCCCTCAGGAAGGAGAAGCACGAGGAAGGGGCCCCAGGGGTGGGAATGAGATCGAGAGAGCAGCAGCAGGAAACAGAGAGAAACAGAGAGTGGGAGATGCAGGGCGGGGGCAGAGGAGACACCGTGGTGCCCACCCACCTCGGGGGAGAGAGGGAGTCAGTTCTGAGCCCCATCAGGTTCGTGCCCCACCCTAGGAGGAGATAATTCAGACCCCAGATCAGAGAACAAAGCCCCCAGAAGGGGCTGGGGTTGGAGGTCCGGTGGCCTTGGGACGGGGTGGCCCTGCCGAGGGTCAGCAGGGGCGAAAGCAGCAGAGCAGGGACAGAGCCTCAGTCCCACGAAACCTTGACAGGCGCGAACTTCCAGAGGTCTGGCTGGCCCATATGCAGCAGGCCGCTGAAGGGCGAAGTACTCCACTGGAACGGGGGCACCTGGTCCCACGTGGGACCGCTGGCCGCCAGCAGGCCCAGGATCCTGGCCAGCGACGTGCTGGTCACCTGGGGACAGGGCAGAGCCGCAGCTGAGCAGGGGCCCTGGCCTGCCCCAATCCAGGCGCCCGGCCTCCTACCCTGACCTTGACCCCACAGCCCAATTCTGCACTGTCACTTTTTTTTTTTTGAGTCTCTGCTCTGTCACCCAGCCTGGAGTGCAGTGACATGATCTCGGCTCACTGCAACCTCTGCCTCCCGGGTTCAAGCAATTCTCATGCCTCAGTCTCCTGAGTAGCTGGCATTATAGATGCCCGCCACCATGCCCGGCTAATTTTTGTATTATTAGTAGAGACAGGTTTTCACCATATGGGCCAGGCTGGTCTCAAACTCCTGACCTCAAGTGATCTGCCCACCTGGGCCTCCCAAAGTGCTGGGATTACAGGCGTGAGCCACCATGCCCAGCCCATACTGTCACCTTTACTGTGACCCCAACCACAGCCCAATTCTGACTGTCATTCCTGTCCCACCATCAGCTTTGCCCCAACCTGTCTCCTCCCCCAAACTGGTGATGGTGACTCCCCCCACCCACAGCCCTCAGGCCCCCAGCCTCCAGGCCCTAGGGAGGAGGCAGCACCTTCACATCGATGCCCCCATGGGAGCGCTGACGCAGGGCCTGGAAAGGGTAGGAGCCATTGGCCGGGTTGAGGTCAGAGCGGGCAGAGATAGCATTCTCCCCATTGGGCTGTGGGTCACAGGCTTTGCACAGTGACAGGGGGTCATGGAGGAAGTCATTGTACCTGGATGGGGAAAAGGAGGGAACATCAGTCATCCCAGGAAGGAGAGGTTAAGACAGGGGCCCAAATCCTCATGGGCAGCCCGGTTAACAGCCGCCAGCCTTCAGCCTGATGAGCCCCTCCCACCGCACGTTGCCCCCGACAGTTCCTCTGCCAGGGGCCTGGACCCTTCACCTAAGTCACTCTGCCTCCATTATTCAGCTTTCTGCTCAGGCACCCATCCTCAGGGAAGAGCTCCATGCCACCGCCCCAGCCAGGTGAGGCAGCCGCTTGTCCCCGGATAGCCTCTCTTGGAACACAGCCATCTTTACACATTGACACCAGTGCAAGAACTTGATGGATTTCTGCACCACACGAGACAGGACAGTGGGGGCACAGGTTTTCTACCTGTTGTTTCTGGTACCAAGCATAGTGCCCAGCAGTACAGGTCACTCAGGAAATGTCTAGCATCCTCCCTTAGCTATGGGGACTGTGACAGGACCCAAGTGGAGCGCGGCCACCGAGCTGCTGCACTGGTGTCCAACGTCTGACCACCCCCTGCTGGCCCTCTGGGGCTGGCGGCAAAGTTTGAATGAGTTGGTACAAAGAGCACATAGGAAGTTCTGTGTTCCTGCGGCCTCCCTCTCCCCAACCCACCACCCAACCAGCACCTACCTCATCAGCCTGACCATGGAGTCCATGTCTTGTACCAGGGACTGGTTCCGCCGGAAGATCTGGGCCCGGGGGCTCCCGTCATAAGAAAACCAGTCCCCATACTGGGCCACGAGGGCCTGCAGCCCACTGGCATTGAACACAGTCTCGAAGGACCTGCCGGGGACAAGGACGGTCACCCATGACCCCCCACTGGCCTCACTCAGCCAAGGTTGTGGCCAGGGAGGGGAGGGGCAGTCACACCAGGACATTACCACTTACAACTATGACATTCAGACAGGGCGTAGTGGCTCACGCCTGTAATCCCAACACTTTGGGAATCCAAGGGGGGCAAATAACCTGAGGTCAGGAGTTCGAGACTAGCCTGGTCAACATGGTGAAACCCCATCTCCACTAAAAATACAAAAATCAACCAGGCACGGTGGTATGTGCCTGTAATCCCAGCTACTCGGGAGGCTGAAGTAGGTGACTCACTTGAACCCGGAAGGCAGAGGCTGCAGTGAGCCGAGATTGCGCCATTGCACTCCAGCCTGGGCAACAGAGCGAGACTCTGTCTCAAAAAACAAAAAACAAAACAAAAAAAACTACGCCATTTGGGATAACAATAATGTCTTTCAATTTGTGCTGGGGGGTGGCTTGGTGGAGTGGCTGAGCTTGGGTTCTGGGGCCCAAAAGACATGGCTTCAAATCGTGCCTTCAGTCTGGGTGCAGTGGCTTACACCTGTAATCCCAGCACTTGGGGAGGCCAAGGCAGGTGGATAACTTGACTCAGGAGTTTGAGACCAGCCTGGCCAACATGGTGAAACCCTGTCTCTACTGAAAATAGAAAAATTAGCCAAGCATGGTGGCTGGCGACTATAAGCCCAGCTACTCAGGAGGCTGAGGCAGGAGAATCGCTTGAGCCCAGGAGGCGGAGGTTGCAGTGAGCTGAGATTGTGCCATTGCACTCCAGCCTGGGTGACAGGATGAGACTCTGTCTCAGAACAAAAAACAAATCCTGCCTTCACCATTCGCCAACAGAGGAAACTTGGGAAAGTGAGGTACTTTCTCAGGGCCTCAGTTTCATCATCTGTGAGATGGGAACAGGAACTCTAGTGACCACATGTGGCAGTTTTAAGAGTCAAATGAGAAAATGCAGGTAAAGTAAGTAAGCCTCAGGAGGTGACGGCTGTACAGCCTAGTAAGGCAGATCCAGTCACAGACCCTGGCAGGGGTCAGTCCCTGAGCCTGGCCATCCCACACCACCCTGCTCTGGGCGTTAGAACCAGAGGTCACATGGATGCTGACCTAAGCCACGCAACTACACTGCCAAACTGTCTGGGCTCTCCTGGCCAGAAGAGGGGGTAGGCTGGGATTCTTCGTTCTGTGGGTTTAAAAATATTGCCTAGGAAGGAGCTGGGCAAGTAGCAAGGTGGATGCCCTCGAGGGTGACGGGGAGCGGGGTGAGAAGGCACGCACGGTATGTTGTAGCTGGCCCAGTAGGTCTTCTGGTAGAGTTCCGAGGTCTTGTCGGCCACCACCACCATGCCGCTGAGACCGAGAAGAGAGATGGGGTGGAGGTGATCAGAAAAGGGGCTCCTGTGGGCACTGCCCTGCTCGGGGAGCCCCGATGGCTCCCCATTGGCTGGGGAAAGGATTAAGTCCTGAACTTCAGCCCCCACCAGGGACACCTTCTCTTCCAGCCACAACCTCCTGAGATCGTTCCCTCACTGCACAGTGCCAGCATGGCTCTGGGCCTTCACCCTGGCAGTCCCCTCTGCCCCAAGCCCCTACCCCCTCCCTCCCAGGATACGCACGGGATCTGCTCCAGGATGGTGAGCACCCGGCTCCCGGGGCTGGGCCCACCCGGGATGAACGCCTTGTAGTCCACAATCATCCACTGGTTGTTATACCTGCCGGGCAGGGGGAAGGAGGACTGAACAGAGCCTGGGGCCACCTCCCCAGCTCTCCCCGCCCCACAGTGTCCCACTCAGCTAGGAATCACAGGAAGTGGGCCTGGGGGTGTCTGGCCATTCAGCTGACACCCTGACACTGCAGCATGACCAGGTATCCACAAACTCCTCTCTCGTCATGCTGCTTGACTGTTCCAGAATATTCTATGGCTCCCTAGGTCAGCTGCTCTGCTGGATGCTGTAAGATCTGCACTGCCCAGTTCCAGTGTCTCTGGCTCACAGGCCCTGCCATCCACCCACGTCCACCTCCTCAAACAGCCCTCCCCGCTGTCCCCTTGAGAGTCTTCAGGTTCCAAGTGCTCTTCCTGTACTGCCACCAAGGCACTCCTTCCTAGGCTGAGGAGCCTGCAGGGGAGGGGCAAATCCTTTCCTTCCCTAGCCTCAGTCTCCCCATGTATGAAACAAAGGAGGGCGTGGGGTGTGTGGCCTGGGTGCCACATCTGGTCCCTGGGGGTCTGAGTGTTAAAGGGGAGGTTGGTCTATTTCTTGGTGCAGGGGAAGCCACAGGGCCAGAAGCCCACTCACGTGCCGCTGTTGAACCTCTTGAAGATGTCTGCCCAGGTGGCCCCATCCGAGGCCAGGCGGTTGGCCACAATGTTGCGTACCCACTCCAGCACACAGCCCCTGGGCCGCACGTACTTCCACAGGGCTGGGTTCTTGTTGCCAATGGTGGTCTCCAGTGTTACCTGTGGGAAGGTCAAGGGGACCGTTACACAGCCTAGGCATGCTGCCACCAAGTGGCAGTACTTCATCAGTCATGGCTCATATTTTTTTTTTCTTTTTTTGAGATGGAGTCTCACTCTTGCCTAGGCTGGAGTGCCATGGCGATGGCATGGAGTGCCATCCTAGTTACTAGGGAAGCTGAGGCATGAAAATTGCTTGAACCTGGGAGACGGAGGTTGTAGTGGGCTGAGATTGCGCCATTGCACTCCAGCCTGGGCAACAGAGAGCCTATCTAAAACAAAAAAGAAAAAGCAACAAAAAAAACCCCACAAAAAACAAAACAAAAAAAAAACCCACCATCACCACCACCAACAACAAAAAGCTGAAAACAGCTAAAAGATAGCCATATCCATAAATGTGACTTTTTTTTTCTCTTTAAAGAGGAAAAAAAGGGCTGGGCACAGTGGCTCGGGCCTGTAATCCCAGCACTTTGGGAGGCCAAGAGGGGCAGAATGCTTGAGCCCAGGAGGTCGAGACCAGCCTGGGCAACACGGCAAAACCCGTCTCTACAAAAAATAAAAAAATTAGCCAGGCATGGTGGCAGGCACCTATAGTCCCAGCTACTTGGGAGGCTGAGATGGGAGGATCACTTGAGGCTGGGGAGATAGAGGCTGCAGTGAGCTGTGATCATGCCACTGCACTCAGGCCTGCATGACAGTGTGAGATCCTATCTCTGAAAAAAAAAAAAAAAATCCTGAAATTTGGTATTTCTTTTCACTGTTAACGTGACATACCACAATGGTATTAGCAGTCACTGGGACTGTCACTATCAGAAATCACAGTTTTTCCATCAGATTACAAGGCTGTACATACCTTAAAGTATCATTCATGTACCTTGCTTCTTCTAACTTACGGTATTTATCACACCTGCTATGGATCTTATTATTCAGTGTGTTAATAAAGCAGCACATATATACTAAAAGTTTACTTATGTTTTGATAACTATATTTCACTATAATTGGTTTCCTCCATAATCCTATACATTTTGGTTTATGTATCTAAAAACACTACTCTGCCAGGCACAGTGGCTCACACCTATCATCCCAGCACTTTGGGAAGCTGAGGCAGGAGGATCCCTTGAACCCAGGAGTTCAAGACTGGCCTGGGAAATACAGTGAGACCTCATCTCTACAAGAAATTTAAAAATTAGCTGAGCATGGTGGCATGTGCCGGTAGTCCCAGCTACTCAGGAGGCTGAGGTGGGAGGATCGCCTGAACCCAGGAGGTGGGAGGTTGCAGTGAGCTGCGATCACACCACTGCATTCCAGCCTGAGTGACAGAGCGAGACCCTATCTCTATTAAAAAAAATTAATAAATAATAAAAATTAAAACACTATTCTGAGAAGAGGGTCACCAGCTTCCTGGACTGCCCAAGGGGTTTATGGCACAAAAACAGTTAGGGACCCTGATGGAAGGGAAGTTTCCTGCCTGGACCTTTTCCTGGTAATCAGATGGAACCATTTCATGTGTCCCTCCCCAGCTGCCTCAGTCCCCTTCACCACCTGGGCCACAGCATGGGGGTTACCTCACCCACTGCCTGGCCCTCTCTTGCCTCGTTCCACACTCAGAGAAAAGCAAGGGATCAGACAAGAAGAAGAGTGCCTGCCCCTCCCGTCCCCGCAGGGAGCTGGCGTTCTCTGTGCTAAGGGTGTTCTTTAGAGTGATGTTTTTTTCTCCTCTGTAGCGTTGCCCTGGAGATCAAAGGGTTCACTTTCTCAGCGAGGAGTGCCAGGGACAGATTTCTAAACAAGTCTGGACCCCAGCCAGGAAAAAAGATGAAAACAACACACTGTAAACAGCCTCTATTCAGCAAACCTGGTCAGGTCAGAGGGGCTCTGAGGAAAGCAAGAGGGAGGCAGGAGGAGAGAGAAGCGTTGGGGATGCGGGGGCACAGTCATCCTGAATACACAAAAACAAGGGAGGTCACTGAGGTCAGGGATAGTCCCAAACATCCCCAAGTCCAGCCTTTCCTGACAACCAGGGTTACATGCAGAGCCCCAGGCCATCTGCAGGTTTCGGGGGCTCTGTGCGGGGCCTGGGGGTCTACACTTAAACACGCCCTTGTGGTGGTCCAAGTCCCCAGAGCAGGGGAAGGGCGAGTCTGGGCTCTGAATGGCAGGTGGGGCAGCGTCCACCTGGTCCTCCGCTGCACCCCTGGCTCCTACATGGCACCCAGCACTGGGCTGCAGCCTGGTCCCCACTTGCTGCAGGAATCAATCCTGCCGGCTCAGAGCTGCTGTGTGACAAACACCCCAGGAACGGAGGAGACGAGAGAAGGGGACTCACCAGCCCGCTGCCCAGGATGTAGAAGTCGTCGCAGGAGAAGATGGTGCCGGGGTAGGAGGAGAAGACCAGCTTGTTGCCGGGAACCAGCGGGGAGTCCCCTGTGCGGGGAGAGCGAGCCAGGGATGCTGGTCAGACAGGCCCAGGTGGAGGCCCCTGCACCCTACCTAACAAGACTCAGGTCTCAAGGTGGGGCACAGGCAGGCCTCTGAGGAAGCCCCCACTGTGTCCTTTTTGACATTTAGCAACTGAGGTCATTGGGCATAGAAAAGTGCATATGTGTGCAAGTAAAAATAAAAGCCAGCAGCAAACTTCTATAGCTGGCCCTCCACGTCCTTGGGTTCCACAGCCTTGGATTCAATTGACTGAGGACCAAAAATACTAGGAAAAAAACATGATTAAAAAGAAAAACACTAAAAGAGAATATAAATTTTTAAAATACAGTATAACAACTATTAACATAGCATTTACATTGTATTAGGTATTATAAGTAGAGATTATAGGATATGGAGCATATGCATAGGTTATATGTAAACAGTCGGCTGTGTTACAGAAGAGACCTGAGCTTCCACAAGGGCTCCTGGAGCCAACTCCCTCCCCAAAACTGAGGGACAACTCTGTGTGCGTGTGTGCGTGTGTGTGCGTGTGTGTGCGTGTGTGTGCGCGTGTGTGTGCATGTGTGCGTGTGCGTGCGTGTGTGCGCGTGTGCGCGCGTGTGTGCGTGTGTGTGTGCGTGTGTGCACGTGCGCGTGCGTGCGCGTGTGTGTGCGTGCGTGTCCGTGTGTGTGCGTGCGTGCGCGTGCGTGTGTGTGAGTGTGCGTGCGTGTGTGTGCGTGTGCGTGTGTGTGTGCGCGTGTGCGTGTGTGTGCATATGTGCCTGTGTGTTAAATATATACAGTCAGATACACAAACAGGTATTTTGTTCACTGGACCCTTTTTTTTTTTTTTGAGACAGAGTTTCGCTCTCATTGCCCAGGCTGGAGTGCAGTGGGGCGATCTCAGCTCACTGCAACCTCCACCTTCCAGTTGTAAGTGCTTTTCCTGCCTCAACCTCCCGAGTAGCTGGGATTACAGGCCCACCCCCTGCAGGTACCCTCACTCCTGCCCTAGAATTCCTTCTACCTGAAGCCTGTCCCTTGACAAGTACTAGTCTGGTTTTACGCACTGTCTCCGGCTGGCCTACTGTGACCTCACGCGTATGCTGGAAGCTTATTACCCCTGTGATCTTGTAAATTGACTCCTTACAACCGCCCTGCATATGGGGGTAGGGAATTATCATCTCCACTTTGCAGATAAGGAAATCTGAGACTCAGAAAGGCTAAGTAACTTAGCAGAGGCCAAACAGTTAAATGGCGGAACAGGGATTTACCCAGGCCTCTTCCCTCCAGTGCTCCAGACTTCTGTGTGTAGCTCTCTGAATTATCCTTTGTGTAATTTTTTTGGTTTGTTTTTTGTTTTTCGTGCTTTTTTTGTTTTGTTTTGTTTTTGTTTTTTGAGACAGTCTTGCTCTGTTGCCCAGGCTAGAGTGCAGTGGGGGGATCTTGGCTCACTGCAACCTCTGCCTCCTGGGTTCAAGTGATTCTCTTGCCTCAGCCTCCTGAGTACCTGCAATTACAGGCATCCACCATCACGTCCAGCTAATTTTTGTATTTTTAGTAAAGACAGGGTTTTACAATGCTGGCCAGGCTGGTCTCGAACTCTGACCTCAAGTGACCCACCAGCCTCGGCCTCCCAAAGTGCTGCAATTATAGGTATGAGCCACCGCGTCCAGCCTGAATTATCTATTCTATATTAAGTCTTTGCACTTTAAAAGAAAGGGACCACTAGGCCAGGCACGGTGGCTCATGCCTGTAATCCCAGCACTCTGGAAGGCCAAGGTCAGAAGGCCAGGAGTCTGAGACCAGCCTCACCAATATGGTGAAACCCCATATCATAGCCAGGCAGGGGGGTGCATGCCTGTAGTCCCAGCTACTCAGGAGGCTGAGGTGGGAGAATAGCTTGAACCTGGGAGGTGGAGGTTGAAGTGAGCCAAGATTGTATCACTGCACTCCAGCCTGGGCAACAGAGTGAGACTCTGTCTCAATTAAAAAAAAAAAAAAAAAGAAAAGAAAAGAAAAGGAAAGGAAAAAAGCACAGTGGGACCCAGCACAATGGCTCACATCTGAAATCCCAGCGTTTTGGGAGACTGAGGCAGGAGTATCACCTGAGGCTAGAAGTTTGTGACTATCCTGGGTAGCACAGCAAGACCCTATCTCAAAATCAATAAATAATTTGAAAAACAAAACACGTGGTGGACCAAAAGGCAGTACCAGCAACTCTCCAAGGCAGCCTAGTGGTCAAAAGAAGGAAGTTGCAAATAATTCACATGGTATAATCTTAACTATGCTTTTTTTTTTTTTTTTTTTTTTGAGACAGAGTCTCGCTCTGCCGCCCAGGCTGGAGTGCAGTGGCCGGATCTCAGCTCACTACAAGCTCCGCCTCCTGGGTTTACGCCATTCTCCTGCCTCAGCCTCCCGAGTAGCTGGGACCACAGACGCCTGCCACCTCGCCCGGCTAGTTTTTTGTATTTTTAGTAGAGATGGGGTTTCACCGGGTTAGCCAGGATGGTCTCGATCTCCTGACCTCGTGATCCGCCTGTCTCGGCCTCCCAAAGTGCTGGGATTACAGGCTTGAGCCACCGCGCCCAGCCAATTTTTTGTTTTTTTGAGACGGAGGCCCACTCTGTTGCCCAGGTTGGAGTACAGTGGCACCATCTTGGCTCACTGCAACCTCTGCCTTCACAGTTCAAGCAATTCTGGTGCCTCAGCCTCCCGAGTAGCTGGGATTACAGGTGTGCACCACCACACCGAGCTAATTTTTGTATTTTTAGTAGAGACGGGGTTTTGCCACGTTGGCCAGGCTGGTCTTGAACTCCTGGCCTCAAGTGATCTACCTGCCTCAGCCTCCCAAAGTGCTGGGTTTACAGGCATGAGCCGTTGTGCCAGGCAAGGTACGTTTTTTAAAGTCTAGGAGAAAACATAACCAAATGTTCACAGAAATTTTCTCTTTCAGGTTGTGGAGTGTTCGAGTGATTTTCATTGTGAGAGTGTTTTGGTGGATTCTCCAATGTTCTATAACATACCTGTATGACTTACGCAGTTTTTAAAAGCTATTAAAATTTTAATGGATAAACAGCAATGAGAATGATAGATCTATAGCTACACAGTAATACAGATGAATCTCACAGACATGCAGAACAAATGAGCACACACTACACAATTCCATTCACATGACATTCAAAACCAGGCAGACCTAACCTACACTGTGAGAAATCAGGATAGGCAGTTGGATCCCTTGACGTCGGCTGTTCAAGACCAGCCTGGCCAACATGGTGAAACCCCATTTCTACTAAAAATACAAAACTTAGCTGGGTGTGGTGGTGTGTGCCTGTAATCCCAGCTACTCAGGAAGCTGAGGCAGAAGAATTGCTTGAACCCAGGAGGTGGAGGTTGCAGTGAGCCGAGATTGCACTACTGCCCTCTAGTCTGGGTGACAGAGCAAGACTCTGTTTCAAAAAAAAAAAACAGAAATCAGGATAGAGATGATGCTGGGGTGGGGTGTGTGTGGAAACGGATATGAGAGAAGCTTCTAGGGGCAGGGAATGTTCTGTTTCTCCAGATGGATGCTATATACAGGTGTTCCATATGCAAGAAATTCAAGTTGTACACTTACGGTGTACACGATTTCCTGTATAAATGTCAATTTAGAGTTTACTTAAATTTCAACGAATGGACATATTTGTTACCAAATCACTGTGACAGCAGACTTGCTTATACACACTCCCCATGCAGAAGCTGAAGTGTCTCTCTAGGGACAGACTGGAGTCGGAGAATTGCTGGATCACTGGAGTGACAGATTTTGAATTTTATTAGATGCCAGCTGGATTCCTCTTAAAAGTAGCTGTGCCAATGCATACTCCCATTAGCAACGAATAAGGCTGGACACTTCCCCACCTCCTGGTCCCATCAAGTTTTTACATTTGGCCAAGAAGGAGGTACTGCAAACATTTGGCAGTGGTATCCCTGGGGTTGATGCTGGGGCCTGGGATGAAGGATATGGCACTATAGAGGACTTTGACCTTGACTGTAAACTATTTTTTTCTTTATTAGAGACCAGGTCTTGCACTGTCACCCAGGCTGGGGTGTCGTGGCGTGATCACTGTTCACTGCAGCCTTGACCTCCTGGGCTCAAGCAATCCTCCTGCTTCAAACTCCCAAGGCGCTGGGATTACAGGGATGGGCCACTGTGCCCAGCCAGTTTTCACATTTAACAGGAAGAATGCATTCGTGCACTCCTTGTAATTGGTTGTTTGCAAAAACGGCTCTAATTCTTCCCATGCCTGCATCCAAGCCATGTGCAATGTGACTCTGCAGTTCCTCACAGCAAATGGTGGAGCCTTTTCTCCCATCTCTGGGTCTAGGCTGGCCACCTGGTTTGATTTGGGTAAAGAATGCTGTGTCAGCCAGGCACGGTGGCTCACATCTTTAATCCCAGTACTCAGCCTGGCTAACATGGCAAAACCCCACCTCTACTAAAAATACAAAAATTAGCCAGACACAGTGGCACGTTTCTATAATCCCAGCTACTTGTGAGGCTGAGGCAGAGAATCACTTGAACCTGGGAGGCAGAGGTCACAGTGAGCTGAGACTGTGCCACTGCACTCCAGCCTAGGCGACAGAGCAAGACTCTGTCTCAAAAAAAAAAAAAGCTGTGTCAAGCCAGGTGTGGTGGCTCACACCTGTAATCCAAGCACTTTGGGAGGCCAAAGTGGGCAGATCACTTGAGGTCAGGAGTTCAAGACCAGCCTGGCCAATACGGGAAAACTCTGTTTCTACTAAAAATACAAAAATTAGCTGGGCATGGTGATGCATGCCTGTAGTCCCAGCTACTCAAGAGGCTGAGGCAGAAGAATTGCCTGAACCCTGGAGGCAGAGGTTGCAGTTAGCTGAGATCACGCCACTGCACCCCAGCCTGGGCACCAGAGCAAGAGTCTGTCTCAAAATGAAAAGAAAAGAATGCTGTGTCAGTTTCACCAAGGCCTCAAGAGGCCTTCACCACATCCTGCCCCGATGCCACACGAACAGGCCTGTGCTCACCTGCTGATGATGAAAGACCACATAGCCCGGCTGTCCCCATCACCCTGGCTGACAATCAACCCCAGGCAGGAGAAGAGGCCATCCCAAGCCAGCCAGCCCACCCCAGCTGACCTGCCAGCAGACTGCAGATGCATCAGCGAGCCTAGCCAAGATCAGCCCGGCCCAGCCCAGAAAACCAAAACCACCCAGCCGACCCATAGAGGTAGTAGCAAAAAAATACATAGTGGTTATTGAAGCTGCTGTTGTTTAAAATGTTGGGGTAACTTGGTAAGCAGCAATAGGTAAAATAAAAAAGGCAATAAACATGTAAAACAAGATGAACTGGCTGGGTGCAGTGGCTCACATAAGTAATCCCAGTACTTTGGGAGGCCAAGTGAGGAGGATCACTTGAGCCCAGGAGTTTGAGACAAGCCTGGGCAACATAGTGAGACTCCATCTCTTAAAAATAAAAAAATAAAAAAATTAGCTGAGTGTGGTGCTACACACTTGTAGTTCCAGATACTTGGGAGGCTGAGGCAGGAGGATAACCTGAGCCTGGGAAGTCAAGGCTGCAGTGAGCCACGACTGCCACTGCACTCCAGCCTGGGCAACAGAGCAAGACCCTGACTCAAAAAGAAAAACAACAAAAACAAGATGAACTCTTGAAATATCCCTACAGTGACTCTGTGTGTTGGGAGGGTTTCCAAGGCCCACAACTCCTAGGACCACTTCCCACGTGTGTGCCCACCCACTCGTTCATCCCCCAGATACACCCACACCCACCTACCCTGGGGGCCTTCCCGGAACTGGAGCCAGTACTTCTTGATGACACGCAGCATGTGCTGGTAGTTGTTCCAGGTATTGTGGGCAACCAGGAGGTCACTCTGGCCAGGGAGCAGCTTGATGAGTGCAGAGCAGGAGCCGGAGCCCAGAGAAGGTTTGATCTTGGTCTTGTTCAGGGCCAGCTCCAGGTCTTCCAGGTCCCCAGAGAGCTGTAGCAGGCTGAGGAGGGCCAGGCACCAGAGGGTTACCATGCCTGCTGTTTTGTACCCATTTTGCAGAGGAGAAAGCTGAGGCTCTAGGAGGTCAGCTGACTGCTCCAAGGCCACAGAGCCAGGCAGTGGCAGGGTTGACGCTGGAACCCAGGTCTGTCCGACTATGAGTGTGTAGCCCTTCTTCCCACCCTGTCCACTCTGGGGGTGGCACTTACAGGAACCCCAAGGGTTTGATGGTGAACTTCCCAGCTGGGAAGCTCACACGGCCTTCGTAGCTGTCCTCCAGGCCTTTCAGCTGCAGGAGGGTCAGCCGCACCTAGGGGAGGGGGCAGGGGCAGAGGGAGGGTGAGGCCTCTCCTCCAGGCTCACACCTTCTCCTTCAATGGGAGGGGCTCTGGCCTGGGGGTTCAGACGGAACAGGAGGCCCAGGGGTACCCTCCAGACTCCAGCCAGCCTTGACTCCCCCAAACTACCACCCACCCCTCCATGATGAGCGCTCTCCTGCTTTCAAGGAATTAACTCTATGTCTCTGCCCTGTGTTAACCCCAAATCAGCCCCACTTAAGAGCCTAGTTTAAAAGCCACCTATTCTAGGACGCCTCCAAGCCTAGCCTGGCCTCCGGCCAACTGCTCGTGTTCTGAGTTCAGTACTGACTGTATTGCTGCCTCAGGCACCTGTCTCATGCATCTGACTTCTCCCCATTGTCATTCTTTTGCCTCAACACCCTATAACCATGAAGTACTATCAGTGTGGCCCTCATGGGGCCTTGGCCAGGCACACTGGGCACTTAGTAAGCATCTGCAAGATGGATGGGTGGGTTGTTGGATGGATGGGTGGGTGGATGGATGGATGGATGGGTAGATGGGTGGGTTGACAGGCGGAAGGTGGATGAGTGGGTGGGTGGGTGGGTGGGTGGATGTATGGGTGGATGGATGGATGATGGATGGACAGATGGGTGAATGGATAGATGAATGGGTGGGTAAATAGATGGATGGATGGATGAGTGAGTGAATGGATGATATGTAGATGAGTGGGTGGGTGGGTGGGTGGGTGGATGGATGGGTGGGTGGATGGATGGATGGATGGATGGATGGATGGATGGGTAAATGAATGGACGGATGAGTGAGTGAACAGATGGATAGGTAGATGGGTGAGTGGGTGGATGGGTGGATGAATGGATGCATGGATGGATGGATGGATGGATGGATGCATGGGTGGTGGATGTGCGGAACGGACAAGTAGATGGGTTGGTGGTAGAAAAGCCTGTCTTAGGGTATGAGTAGGTGGGTGGGCGCACCGTGAGAAGTTCCACAGAGGAAAATGGTGCAAACCTGGCCTAGGCTAGGCAGACATGCTAACAGGCATTGATGGCCACTTTACAGAGACAGCCTGTCGTGTGTACCTCACAGTAAACACCTGACATTTTCCAGGGAATCCATAAGTAACTGACTGTTCCAATGAAGGCCTAGCCAGTGGCCCAAAGGCAGAGCGCCTGCCTGGGCCTCTCTGTTAGCGGCCAGCTGATCAGCAGCTCACTCAAGGAAAGAAAAACAAAATTCACTGTGTCCAGACTTTCGGGGATTTTCTGGTTTTCCCCTTCCCTTCTTTCTCATACCGTCTTTACTTGCATCCAACATAATCAATCTACCAAGCAAGTATACAAGTAAAACGCCATATGTACGCAAGTAAAACACCGTGCTAACAATTGACTATTTGTTTTTGGTCATTCTTTGACAGTAGGTAGGCTAGGATGGATGGATGGAGTTCTAGCAAGTGGACAGATGGAGACTGGGCAGAGATGGAGATGATGATGGACACAGGGGCGGTTGGGCAGCTGGACATGCCACAAGGCTGGCCAGGACAGCAGGGGACAGGATGGCTGGCCAGCTGGAAGCCCCCTCCGACCGAGCGTGGCAGCTGGGCTCACCTGGTGCCAGTAAGCTGAGTCTGGATTTGACTCCATCTCTTCCTGCATCCACTCCAGGTTGGCCTCCAGGAAGCTCTTCAGCCTCTCACAGTAGCCAACTTCATACTCAAAGGGGCCGCAGTAATTCACCACCGTGTTCATCCAGTGCATGTAGATGAGCTGCGGGGTAGGGGGTGGGCGAGGCGGGGGTGGGCAGCTGAGGTGCTGTCTTCCCTGAGAGCCCCCCACCCAGGCTGCCCCAGAGCGGAGGCTGCTGGTATGGCCACCTGAGCCCTTGCTCACACTGTCCTGTCCCTGGAGGCTCCTCTCCCTGCCCAGCTCTGCCCCCGCTAGGGACCCCAGGCCCCTGGAAGTTGCCCTAAGAGCCTTTAGCCTGCAAAGCCTATAACTGATGGCACCACTTCTGTTACTGGGGACCCCAATCTATATGCGTGTTCAGTTAGTCAATCCATGAATGTGTTTTGTTTTTTTTTGTTTTTTTTTGAGACGGAGTCTCGCTCTGTCACCCAGGCTGGAGAGCAGTGGCACGATCTCAGCTCACTGCAAGCTCCGCCTCCCGGGTTCACGCCATTCTCCGGCCTCAGCCTCCAGAGTAGCTGGAACTACAGGCGCCAGCCACCTCGCCCGGCTAGTTTTTTGTATTTTTTAGTAGAGACGGGGTTTCACCGTGTTAGCCAAGATGGTCTCGATCTCCTGACCTTGTGACCCACCCATCTTGGCCTCCCAAAGTGCTGGGATTACAGGCTTGAGCCACTGCGCCTGGCCAGTCAATCCATGAATGTTTTTTCTGAGCACCTATTATGTTCCATTCTAAGCACTGAGGACACAGCAGGGAACAAAACAGCAATACCCCTGCTGACTCCACTGGGCAAGAGAATGCCGTGCCAGTTTCACCCAGACCTCATGCGGCCCTCTGCACTTCCCACTGAGATGCCACCTGCATGAGTCCAGGCTCGCCTGCTGGGGGACAAAAGACCACATAGCCTGGTCATCCCCATGAGTGAGTGGCAGCACTCACTATCTCAGGATTGATGGCTTCATGACCGCTGCTCCATCACCATCTCACTGAAACACATCCAAATCCTGTTCATCCTTCAAGGTGCACTAAGACACCACCTCCTCCATGCAGGCCTGCCTGACTTCCACAGCATTTCCCCACTGCCTGTCCCATACCATGTTCTGGGCTGGGATCAGGGGACATAGCTGGGGACAAGACATATTACCACCCACAACAAGCCCACAGGCTGGAGGGGGAGGCAGCAGGGCACACCAGTTAGGAGCGAGACGTGGGTTAGACAGAGCTGAGGTTGAATGGTACCTCCTCTGCAGACAGGCTGGCTGACCTTGGGAAAGCAGCTTCACCTCTCTGGGCCCAAGCCTGCCCATCCATCCAGGGAGGTACACATGCTTCCCTCAGAGGTTTAGGGTGGAGGCTCAGTGAGACATTGTGGGCACAGTGCCTGGCACATGGGCCTGGGATTCCTGACATGAGAGCCACTTGTGCCCTTGCCTCAGTGTCCCCAGGAGGCTGTGAGCCTCTTGAGAGACTGAACCATGTCTCATTCACCACTAAGCACCCAAAACAGCCCTGGCCCAGCATCTGACCACTTGCTCAGACACTAAGGACCCAGAGGGCCACCCACAGCTGTGACTGGGTGGCAGAAGGAACAGCGTGAGTTTTATAACACGGTGTCCCACTGGACGCTGTCCTCCGTGATGTGCTCTTTCCCCTTCGCCTCCAGGCATCTCAGATTCATTCATTTCCACTGCTCTGTCATGCTGCACTGTGCACCTCCACCCGGTTAGCCATTCACCTGCCTGTGTTTTAAGGACTCCCACTTTGGGGCTGCTTTGAGCACCTCATGCACATCCGTGGGTCACCTCTAGGGTATACACCCAAGTAGCAGTGCTGCTGGGTCCTAGGGCACATGCAGGTTCAACTCCACAAGTTGATGCCAAATTATTTTCCAACTTGGGTGACCCAATGCATGCCTCCATCTGCAGTATGGGAGACAGCTGTCACCCCACAGCTTCACCTACTTCTTGTTTGGTTTTTTGTGTGGTTTTGTTTTGTTTTTTTGAGACAAGGTCTCATTCTGTCACCAGGCTGGAGTACAGTGGTACAATCCTAGCTCACTGCAGCCTCCAACTCCTGGGCTCAAGCAATCCTCCCTCCTCAGTCTCCCAACGTCCTGGGATTACAGGCAGGTGCTCTGCCTTTGGGCTGCTGGTTAGGCCATCAGTGGAAAAGTCAGTAATTTATGCATTCCCTGGAAAATGTCAGGTGTTTACTGTGAGGTACACATGACAGGCTGTCTCTGTAAAGTCATCATCAGTGCCTGTTAGCATGTCTGGCTAGCCTAGGCCAGGTGGCTCATACCTGTAATCCCAACACTCTGGGAAGCCGAGGCAGGCAAATCACTTGAGGTTAGGAGTTTGAGACCAGCCTGGCCAACATGGCAAAACCCCATCTCTACTGGAAATGTAAAAACTAGCCAGGCATGGTGGTGTATGCCTGTAATTCCAGCTACTCCAGAGGCTGAGGCATGAGAATCATTTGAACCTAGGGAGGCAGAGATTGCAGCGAGCTGAGATTGCGCCACTGTACTCCAGCCTCGGTGACAGAGCAAGTCTATGTCTCAAAAAAAAAAGAAAAGAAAAAGAAAATTACACTAGGTACTATCTGATACACAGAAAAAATATATAACATATTCTAAGTTATGAAGCATGATAATAAAATGAACATCCAAACTAAAACCTAGAATGTTACTGATACCATTGAGCATCCCCTAAGCCCCTGCCTCCTCTACCCCTAGAGGCACCCACCACCCTAAATGTGGTAGCTTTCGAGCCCTTTCATTCATTCATTTATATTGAGATATAGTCAGCATACCATAAAATTAACCATTTAAAAATGCACAATTTCGCTGGGCACAGTGTCTCATGCCTGTAACTCCCATTTTGGGAGGCCGAGATGGGCAGATCACCTGAGGTCAGGAGTTTGAGACCAGCCTGGCCAACAGGGCGAAAGCCTACCTCTAATACAAATGCAAAAATTAGGTGGGCGTGGTGGTGCGCATCTGTAATCCCAGCCACTCGGGAGGCTGAGGCAGGAAAATCACTTGAACCTGGGAAGCAGAGTTTGCAGTGAGCCGAGATCACATCATTATACCCCAGCCTGGGTGACAGAGGAAGACTCTGTCTCAAAAAAAAAAAAAAGTACAATTCATGGTTTGTAATGTATTCATAAAGTTGTGCAACCATCACCACTCTCTAACTCCAGAACCTCTTCATCATCCCAGAAAGAAACCCCATATCCATCAGCAGTCATTCCCCACTCCCCACAAGTCCCTGGCACCCACTAGTCAGCTTTCTGTCTCTGTAGATTTGCTTATTCTGAACATTTTATATAAATAGAATCATAGAGTATGTGCCCTTTTGTGACTGGCTTTTTTCGTTTAGCATGTTTTCAAGGTTCTTTCATGTTCTGGTATGTGTCAGTCCTTCATTCCCTTTTACAGCTGAATAATGTTGCATTGTATGATAGATCACATTTCATGTATCCATTCATCGGCAGCGGGGCATTTCAGTTGTTTCCACTCCCTTACTTTTGTTAAGCTACTTTTACTGCATGCGATGAGTCCCTGAACAATGTATTATTTTGCTTTACTTGTTATTGAGCTTTATAAGAAGTCAGACAATATCAGAAGTGGGTGAGAGCCAGGCACAGTGGCCGGCCCCTAATGTAATTTTCTAAAGAATACGTGTCCACTTTTTTTCCCCAAATAGATGGAGGGCTATGGCAGGAGTTGGGGGGCCTACTCTGCACACATCTCAAAAGCACGTCGGGGAACACGCTGGTGGGGGTGGGGGAGGGTGGGAGCCCCAAGTCCCCACCTTGGCCCTTACCTCCTCCGACACAGCAGCCTCCACCACGCCGGCTGCATAGGCCTGCAAGCTGTCATTGTATCCGCCACTCGTGCCCAGCTCCAGAAAGGCCCACCTGGAGGGGAAGGAAGGGACAATCAGTGAGTGGCAGAGGCCCCCAGCTAGACACACGGCATCTCCAGGCTTACACCATGAAAACGACACAGTGGTCAGTAGACACTCACGTGAATGTCCGTCTGTCCATCTTTGTGAGCTTGTAGGATTAAATCCCTCCAAGAGGAACTACTGGCTCAAAGGGCACATGTATTTTTGATTTTTGTAGATATTGACAAACAGCCTCCCCAAAAAATGTAGGACCCATCTACATTCCCTCACCCACAATAACACCAGCTAACATCCATTAAGGATGAGATGTTAGCTCTGTGCCAAGCCATGTTCTAGTCACTTTCATGTCTATTAACTCATTGAGTCCCTGTGATAATCCTATAATCCTATAAGGTGGGCAGAGTTATCGTCCCCATCTTGTCCCTTTTGCAGAAGAGGAGGAAATTAACACACAGACTTATGTCACATGCCACCCCCACCCCTATGTCCATGCCCTTTGCCAGGAGACTACAGTCCTCCACCAATGGCCAAGTATCCTTCCCTGTTCCTTCATTTGGGCTTGGTTGTGTCACGTGACCTGCTTTGGCCAATGGGATGTGGATGAAAGTGACAGCGTGCTGGTTATAAGATTAGCCTTCAGGAAGCCTCGCTTGCCCCTTTGTGCCTCTGCCATCACCATGGGAAGAACAAGTCCCAGCCAGCCCACTGGTACCGGGGATATGAGAGCCACACAAGCACACCAGGTCTGTAGAGCTGCAACATGAAGTACCGCTGCCCCAGCAGCCCCACAAATCCATGAGGATTAATGTTGTTGGTTTAAGCCCTTGGATTGGGGCTGGTTTATCACACAGCACTGCTGCCCAATACTAGCGGATACACCTGAAAGGTCAGAGTTGGCAGGGGCAGGATTCACTTCCAGGCAGGCTGGCTCCCACTCCTCTGAAGGAGCGCTTCTCAACCTCTGCTGCATATGCAGGTCACCTGAAGGCCTGGTTAGAAGGCAGATTCTGATCAGTTCTGCGATGGGGTCTGAGACTACATTTTTTTTTTTTTTTTTCCTGAGACAGAGTCTGGCTGTTCCCCAGGCTGGAGGACACTGGCATGATCTCAGTTCACTGCAACTTCTGCTTCCTGGATTCAAGTGATTCTCCTGCCTCAGTCTCTGGAGTAGCTGGGATTACAGGTGTGAGTCACCACACCCAGCTAATTTGTGTATTTTTAGTAGAGACAGGGTTTCACCATGTTGGCCAGGCTGATCTTAAACTCCTGGCCTCAAGAGATCCGCCCACCTCAGCCTCCCAAAGTGCTGGGATTATAGGCACTTTGTTAAGCTACTTTACAGTAGCTTAAGGCCACTGCGCCAGGGTTTTTGTTTGTTTGTTTGTTTTGAGACAGCATCTTGCTCTGTCACCCAGGCTGGAGGGCAGTGGCATGATCTTGGCTCACTGCAGCCTCCAGCCTCCCAGGCTGGGTGTGATAGCACGTGCCTGTAGTCCCAGCTACTCTGCTGGCTGAGGCATGAATCGCTTGAACCTGGGAGGTTACAGTAAGCTAAGATTGTGCCACTATACTCCAGCCGGGGTGACAGAGTAAGACTCTGTCCAAAAAAAAAAAATTATTCCAACAACCCTATGACATGGGTTTTATTCTCCCCATTTTACAGATGTAGGGAACCGAGGCTCCCACATAACACAGTGAGATGAAGTGATTTGCCCAAGGTCACACAGCAGGTGAGCAGCAGAGCTGAGACTAACATTCTTGAGTGCATGCTCTGCGCCTCTAACTCAACTCAGGTTTGCGGGGGAGTGTTGGGGGCAAGGAGGTATAGTTCTTATCAAATGCAGATGACAGCCATGAACTTCGGGCTAATGATTCACATATCACAGATAAGGACAGAAAAAAACTAAGATTTTAAATTGCAAGGACAATGGAAGACAAAGAGTTTGGGTTTGGGGTCCCTCCAACTTGGTCTGAATCCCTGGGTAGATCCCTTCTTGGTTGTGTACCTTTGGGCAAACTGCTTTACCTCTCGGGGCCTCGGTTTTCTCATCTGTAAAACGGGCGAGTGACTCCCCCTTCAGAGGACTGCTGTGGCATGTGCCAGGAGAGAACACACATTATGCACTCACCAAGTATTTGTCTCATCAAGAATCTGAGAGGGGATGGCGCAGTGGCTCACGCCTGTAATCCCAGTGCTTTGGGAGGCCGACGTGGGAGGATCACTTGAGGCCAGGAGTATGAGACCAGCCTGGGCAACAAAGTGAGACCCCCCCTCTCTACAAAAAATACAAAATAAATTAACCAGGTGTGGTGGTGCTCTCCTATAGTCACAGGAGGCTGGGGCTAAGGTGGGAGGATTGTGTAAGCCCAGGAGGTCGAGGCTGCAGTGAGCTATGATGGTACCACTGTACTCCAGTCCAAGCAGTAGAGCAAGATGCTATCTCATTTAAAAAAAAAAAAAAAATCTGAGAGGGTAGGAGTTTGAGGAGACCCGATGAATGTGATGATGGGAGGAAGATTATAACAGGGCCCAATATGCAGATCCCTCATGATAAAAGCTGGCAGTGGATTAAAGGAGACCTTGGACAAACTGCATAAAACCAAAAACACTGTGCAGTTGCGAGCCCCAGTAGTAACTGAGTGGCCAGTGGCCTCCTCCAGGGCACACCTGGTGAGAGCTGCCCCTTCTAGCAAGGGTGGGCTCCGCCAAGGCCTCGGCACTGAGGCCCCGGAGACGGGCAGCGGTTAGGAACCCATTCCCTGGCCGGATGCTCATACAGCCCTGCAGAGATGGGCATAAGGGCCCTTCTTCACAGCAGGACTTTTCTCCAAAGCCAGAAAAGATGGGCCTTCCCGAAACGCCCACCGTTAGGGGCCTGATACAATAATCACACACGCCGTGGCGGGCTGATGTGCTGATGAGCAAAGAGGTCAGAGATGAAGTTCAAACAAAAGTAGAGAAGTCCAAATGGTAGCCATAGGCTAAGCCCATATGTACATGCATCACACAACACATATGCCTATACATTTATATATATGGAAGAAGGTTTAGGCCTCTTTATGCATAGAAATTTCTGGAAGAACGAGCTAAAAGGCCAGGCGTGGTGGCTCACGCCTGTAATCCCAGCACTTTGGGAGGCCAAGGCGGGTGGATCACGAGGTCAGGAGATCGAGACCATCCTGGCTAACACGGTGAAACCCCGTTTCTACTAAAAATACAAAAAATTAGCCAGGTGCGGTGGCCGGCGTCTGTAGTCCCAGCTACATGGGAGGCTGAGGCAGGAGAATGGCGTGAACCCAGGAGGCGGAGCTTGCAGTGACCCGAGATCGCACCACTGACTCCAGCCTAGGCAACAGAGCAAGACTCCACTCCAAAAAAAAGGAAAAAAAAAGCTAAAAATGTTTATATCTAGGAAGAACGGTAGGAAGAGGTTTTTACTTCCCATATCCCATATCCCCTCTTTCTAAACTGCTAGAAATTTGTTTTGTTTCCTTTTGTTTTGTTTTGATTGAGATAGGGTCTCACTCTGCCACCCAGGCTGTAGTGCAGTGGCGTGATCACAGCTCACTATAGCCTCACCTGGACTCAAGCAGTCCTCCCGCCTCAGCTTCTGAGAGGCTGGAACTACAGGTAGGCACCAACAATGCCCAGCTAATTTTTTATATTTTTTGCAGAGACAGGGTCTCACCAGGTTGCCCAGGCTGGTCTCAAACTCTGGGCTCAAGCAATCCTCCTGCCTCGGCCTCCCAAAGTGCTGGCATTACAGGTACAAGCCACCGCGCCTGGTCAGAACACTTTAGACTGCATCTATAACTAGATGTACTTTTTTTTTTTTTTTTTTTTGAACGGTCTCGCTCTGTCGCCAGGCTGGAGTGCAGGCCGATCCAGCTCACTCAGCTCCGCCTCCTGGTCACGCCATCTCCCCTCAGCCCCGAGTGCTGGACACAGGCCCGCCACCTCGCCCGCTAGTTTTTTGTATTTTTTTAGTAGACGGTTTCACCATGTTACCAGGATGTCTCATCTCCTGACCGCCCGTCTCGCCTCCAATGCTGGATTACAGCTGAGCCACCGCCTGGCTAGATGTACTTATTAAAGACTACTCTTCGGCCAGGCACAGTAGCTCACACCTGTAATCCCAGCACTTTGGGAGGCTGAGGTGGGCAGATCACTTGAGGTTAGGAGTTCAAGACCAGCCTGGCCAACATGGTGAAACCCCATCTCTATTAAAATTACCAAAAGAAAAAAAAAAATAGCCAGGTATAGTGGCGCACACCTGTAATCCCAGCTACCAGGGAGGCTGAGGCAGGAAGATCACTTGAACCTGGGAGGTGGAGGTTGCAGTGAGCCAAGATCATGCCACTGCACTCCAGCCTGGGTAACAGAGCCGACTATCTCAAAAAAAATAAATCAAACAAAGACTACTCCTTATTCAGAGAGTATGTCCTTTCTGCTTGTTTGCTCTAAAATTGCCAATCTTTTATGAGATAAACACTGACAGGGGTTGACAAATATTGCTCTGCTTTGTTTTTAATGCACTTGCTTGACAAAAAGTTGGCAGCAGTAGATCTGTTTCCTCAATCTTTTTTTTTTTCCTGGAAAATCTATGGGCTGCGATTTCATGCCAGGGGCAGCTAATGTCTCAAAGATGACTCAAGAGTCTAATCAAGGTGCCTCTTGAAAGAAGCCACATTTGAAAAAGTCGGACCACTGATATGAGCAGGGTGCCACAAATAGCTCACAAATATCAGCACCCCACTTCCGCAGTGTAGTATGGCCTTGGACGCTCTCCATTATGCGGGATGCCCCCCGTATCTGTGTCTATCACTCCTATCTCAGCCTAAGTTTTTTTTTTTGTTTTTTTTTTTTTTTGAGACAGGGTGTCACTCTGTTGCCCAGGCTGGAGTGCAGCAGCACAATCACAGCTGGCTGCAGTCTCAACTTCCCAGGCTCACGCGAGTAGCTGGGACCACAGGCATGCGCCACTACACCCAGCTACTTTTTTTTTTTTTTTTTTTTTTTTTTTTTTTTTTTTTTTTTGAGACGGAGTCTGGCTCTGTCGCCCGGCTGGAGTGCAGTGGCCGATCTCAGCTCACTGCAAGCTCCGCCTCCCGGGTTACGCCATTCTCCTGCCTCAGCCTCCCGAGTAGCTGGGACTACAGGCGCCCCCCGCGCCCGGCTAGTTTTTTGTATTTTTAGTAGAGACGGGGTTTCACCGTGGTCTCGATCTCCTGACCTAGTGATCCGCCCGCCTCGGCCTCCCAAAGTGCTGGGATTACAGGCTTGAGCCACCGCGCCCGGCCAACCCAGCTACTTTTTTAATTTTTTGCAGATAGGATTTCACCATGTTGCCCAAGCTGGTCTCAAAATCCTGGTCTCTCACCATCCTCCTGCCTCGGTCTCCCAAAACATTGGGATTACAGGCGTGAGACACAGCGCCCGGCCTCCTTTCTCATTCTCGATGGTATAAATTCATCTCTTGTGATTGTTCAAAGAAATAGCTGGGCCTTATTTATCGATTTTACTGGGCTGGTTTTGCCTGCTGGTTGGTGGATTTGGGATGCTTCCCCATTTACTAATTTGTTAATTCCCTCTTATTTTGATTCACTGCCTCTCTCAATGAGATGGTGATTTACTTTAAGCAACCTCATCAATAAGGTGCTGGTCAGTGGGATCAGATCAGGGAAGGAAGACAAAGTAAGGTTGGAGGATACAGCTTCCCCAGGACCAAAGCCAGAGCTAGATTGAGGCAGGTTCTGCTCCTAGTGACACCTCTGCTCTCCAAGCACCAAATCCTAAATGTTTCCAGGCTGTGTAGGGGTGTTGGCCCAAAGTCAGATATGGCACAACTGAAAGAAGGTACCGAGCACAGTGGCTCACATCTGTAATTCCAGCATTTGGGGATGCTAAGGTGAGAGGATCACTTGAGCCCAGGAGTTCAAGACCAGCCTGGGCAACATGACAAGACCCTTGTTTCTACAAAAAAAAATTTTTTTAATTAGCCAGGCATGGGGGTGCGTATCTATAGTCTGAGCTACTTGGGAGGCCGAGGTGGGAGGATTTCTTAAGCCCGGGAGTTCAAGGCTGCAGTGAGCCGTGATCACACCACTGCACTCCAGCCTGGACAACAGAGTGAGACCCTGTCTCAAAAAAAAAAAAGAAAAACAACAACAACAACAAAAACCTTTTTAAAATAATAAAAAGACAAAGGATTATGGAGTAGGGAGAATTTATCCTGATAATCCCAGGATCCCCAGTGGCAAAATCTGGGGATTTCACCAGGAAGGAGGAGGGATCCCAATTCTGAGTGAACAGAGGCATCACATCCCTGCCCCCACCCTCCGAAATAAGACACAGAGTCCCCCACAGATCAGAGATTCTGCTGATCAGGAGCCAGGACACCCCCTATGACTTTCTTCCATCTGACCCTGAGTCCTCAAGCAGCTATCTCTGAGGACTTCAGTTTCCTGCCTATAAAATGGGGCTCGCTGTATGGTTTTCCCCACATCAGAGCCTCAAGTGCTGGCAAACTTGAGGGAAAGGGGCATGTGAGCGTAAGAGGAGGGGACGAGAGAGGGTGCCGAAAACAAGCCAGAAAGGCCGAGACGGGCAGATCACCCGAGGTCAGGAGTTCGAGATCAGCCTGGCCAACATGGTGAAACCCCATCTCTACTAATAATACAAAAATTAGCTAGGCATGGTGGCACACATCTGTAATTTCAGCTACTCGGGAGGCTGAGACACAAGAATCGCTTGAACCCAGGGGGCAGAGGTTGCAGTGAGCCAAGACTGTGTCCCTGCACTCCAGCTGGGCAACACAGTGAAACTATGTCTCAAAAAATAAAATACAAATAAAAATAAACAAACAGTGCTTTCTGTGACCCCAGTGAATTTCCATGACCCTTTTGGCCCTACCTTGAGATGAAGGAACAGGCTCAGAGAGGTGAAGGGATTTGCCCAAGGTCACACAGCAGAAGGGCTGAGCCTGGAAGAACTTTCCATCCAGCACAATCAAGGAAGCCTTCTCTCCACTTCCATGTTTACCATAGTCAAGAGCAACACAGCCCAGCAGGGGCCTCCAGAGGCCAAAGCCCCCTGCCCATGCTGGGCCTCGCTCCTGCCCCTCCTCTCCTGCACAGTTCTGTCATGCCCTCTTGATTCTGCTATGCAGGGCCAAAAACATGAGTGAGTCAGCAAATAATGGGTCACCAGATCCCAGAGTCCCGGTGGCCCCCGAGGCCAGCCATAAAGCTTCAGTTCCCTCCACAGATGCCAGCTCACTCTGTGGCCTCCTCTCTCTGGGAGCCTTCCCAGATTGACCCCCACCCAGCGCCCCTGTGTCTGCAGCTAACATCTCCCCCAAATCTCACATCTGTTTGATGTACCCCCCAAGTGCCACCAGAATGGGGGTGTCCTCGGCATCCTGTGTCTCCCCAACACCTGCAGAAGTCAATGCATGCCAGCAAAATGGATAGGGGCTACAGTGGGAGGAGGCCCTTTCTGCTGCAGAGGGCACAGTGGTCTGAGCACAGACCACATCCTGCGCATATCCTAGTGCTAGGGTTCCCTAGCATCATCTGGGCACTAGGATATGACGGATGCACCCTGGGTTCCCTAAGATCCCCCAGCACAGCCTGGATCTAGCATCTGGGCCCTGCTGACAAGACTTTGAAGCTGATCCTTCCCACTCCCACTGACTCTGATTTCCCTTCTGTTGCTGTCTTTCCCACTGAGTAGGGACTCCCACCTTGCTCAGTTGTGTCCCTAAGGCCAACCATCAGGATAATGAATAAATGAATGGGCACAAGCCCTTGTACAGAACTTGCAGCACGTGATCACCCAACTAGAGCACATCCTCAAAATCTGGGCCACAGATGGGGAAACGGGAGCCCAGACAGGCGGAGGAGTTAGGTGAGACTCACACATCAGAATTGCCTGCATCCCAGCAATAAAGATGGTGAGCATGGCTGCCAAACACAGCATCCAGCCAAGGACTTCCCCTTGGACTAGGACACAGAAGACAAGGGAGGAGCAGAGCCCTAGCAAGGTACTAAATGGGTCTATGTGACTTTAGGGACCCTCTGCTTTTGGACTGGCCTGGAACCCAGGTTCAGTCTTGCTGCCCTGGCACTGGAAGGGAGGCAGGGGGCTGGCACCCACAAGCAAGCCACAGCCAAGCAGGTGAGAGTTAGCCTCCTGCTGAGTTCTCATCATCCCCAAGGCCTGGGGACAGGGGCTGGCCTCCATGGGGTGAGGGGGCAAAGTCTGGGGAAGGAAGCTGGTCCCCGTGGGGATAGAAGTTACCCACCAGCCATAGACCTGGTCCAGATGCAGGCACTGTGACCTTGGTGGTGGGGAACTGGCCTCTTGAGGACAGAAGTACTGTCACCACTGGCTGAAGGCAAGGGACAGGCCCCATGAGGTGAGGGATGCCGCAGTGGCCCCCTCCCAAATAGGGGACCTGGTCCACAGGGCGGTGCTGCAGCCTCGGGAGTAGCTGACCCCCAGAGAAACGGGCCCTCCCACCTGGCAAGAGGCCGGTCCTGGGAACAGGAGAGGTCCGGCGCCACGCACCCCCCTCTCCCCCGATGGCCCCGCGTGAGGACAGGCCAACCCTTACCCGGTCTCGTGGATGGAATTGGTGAGGTTGGCCCAGGCCACGGCGTCAGGGTGGCGGCCGTCCACCAGAAGCAGCTGGCCCGTTGCGGCGTCCAGTAGCACCGAGCGGCTGCGGGAGGCTGGAGTGACCGGCCCATCGTGCGCCCAGCGGCCCCCCGGCGCCGGGATCGCCCCCGCCAGGCCGCTCAGGAACAGCCCTACCAGCAGGGCCAGCACCAGGGCCAGCGCCAGCGCCCGCGTCAGGGCCCGGGCCAGGGGGCTGCCGGAGGAGCAGTACATCTGACCCACCATGACGGCTCAATGCCGCGCGCCGCAGCCCGGGTCACGTGACTGCGCCCCGCCGTGGGCGGGGCCGAGGGCGGGCGGGGCCGAGGGCGGGCGGGGCCGAGGGCGGGCGGGGCCGAGGGCGGGCGGGGCTTGGGCCGAGTTTTTCCGGGGTGGGAGGGGCTGGGGTGAGGGGAGGCCTACTGGGCGGGAGCCACCTTAAAGGGCCCGGCCGCCCCTTCCACCTACGCAAACCCAGTTTAGCACACTTCCCCCAACTTTTTTTTTTTTTTTTTTTTGAGACAAGACAAAATCTCCATCTGCCACCTAGGCTGGAGTGCAGTGACACGATCTCGGCTCACTGCAACCTCCGCCTCCCTGGTTCAAGCGATTCTCCTGCCTCATCCTTCTAAGTAGATGGGATGACAGGCGCGCACCACCATGCCCAGCTAATTTTTGTGTTTTCAGTAGAGACGGGCTTTCGCCATGTTGGCCAGGCTGGTCTTGAACTCCTGTCCTCAGGTGATCCGCCCGCCTCAGCCTCCCAAAGTGCTGGGATTACAGACTTGAGCCACCGCATTTGGCCAGATTTATTTAATGGTATTTGCCATTTATTTAATACAGTTATCTAATGCAGAGTCTTTATTCCAACTTTGCCTATTGTCCTTCAAGTGCCCTTTTTTACATGTGTGTGGGAAAAAGCTGTCTAACTACTACTCAAAACCTAGATGCCATGGGGCGCAGTGGCTCATGCCTGTAATCCCAACACTCTGGGAGGCCAAGGTGGGCAGATTACTTGAGTTCAGGAATTCAAGACCAGCCTGGACAATATGGTGAAACCCCATCTCTACTAAAAATACAAAAAATTAGCCCGGCGCGGTGACGTGTGCCTATAGTCCCAGCTACTCCGGAGACTGAGATAGGAAAATCACCTGAGCCCTGGAGGTCGAGGTTGCAGAGTCGAGATTGCACCACTGTACTCCAACCTGAGCAACCAGAATGAGACCCTGCCTGTCTCAAAATAAATAAATAAATAAATAACCTAGATGCAATGAAAGATTAATGCATTTGACTGTATAATTTTTTAACTTTTTCGTGTCAAAAAAAACTCAATAAGCAAAGTCAAAAGATATCTGACAGACTGGGAGAAAGTATTTGCAACATATATCATATCCCTAATATATCAGGAACTCTTAAAATTTGAGAGGGAAGGCCAGGTGAGTGGCTCATGCCTGTAATGACAGCATTTTGGGTGGCCAAGGTGAGAGGAATGCTTGAGCCCAGCAGTGTGAGACCAGCCTAGGAAACCTGCCAAGACTCTATCCGTATAAAATATAAAAATTAGCTGAGCTTGGTGGTGCACACCTGTAGTCCTGTTGCGGGAAACTGAGGAATGCAGAGACCAATATGAGAGAACAGGAGGATGTTTATTTTAAGGTACACACTGGCTCAGTGGATTCATATCCAAAAAGCTGAGCCTAGAGCGAAGATATTGTGGGGTTTTTATAAGCAGACTTACAAAAGTAAAACAAAAGTAGTTAATCATATAGTGGGTAACATGTGGTCTTGCATAGCTGGTGGCCTTGTAGCTGCGTCAAAAGAAAAACAAGAACTGGCTAAATAGAGACGTTTGTAAAACATAGTCATGCTTAAGAGACCAAGGAAAGGAATAACAATAAAAGAATTTGTCTCGGCCGGGCGCGGTGGCTCACGCCTGTAATCCCAGCACTTTGGGAGGCCGAGGCGGGCGGATCACAAGGTCAGGAGATCGAGACCACGGTGAAACCCCGTCTCTACTAAAAATACAAAAAATTAGCCGGGCGCGGTTGTGGGCGCCTGTAGTCCCAGCTACTCGGGAGGCTGAGGCAGGAGAATGGCGTGAACCCGGGAGGCGGAGCTTGCAGTGAGCCGAGATCGCGCCACTGCACTCCAGCCTGGGCGACAGAGCGAGACTCCGTCTCAAAAAAAAAAAAAAAAAAAAAAGAATTTGTCTTTCTCTCTTTTTTTTCCTTCAACCTTGCTCCAGAAGCAGGCGGCAGGGTGCGGCGGCGGTGTCTGGAACCCATTCCTCTGGTCTTGGCTTTTCGGACAGCTTGTTCTTCTTCTTTTTTAACCCTTGCCTTGCCACATTCTGGGCCTTAGCTGTTACTTCTCTTGGAGTGAATACATGTAGTACTTATTATTATTATTATTATTATTATTATTATTTTAATTCCTGCCTCAGTCCCAGGTACTGGGAGGCTGAGCAGGGAGGACTGCTTGAGTCTAGGAAGTCGAGGCTGCAGTGAGTTGCACTCCAGCCTGGGCGACAGAGCAAGATGTTGTCGAAGGAAGGAAGGGAGGGAGGGAGGGAGGGAAGGAAGGGAAGGAAGGAAGGAAGAAGGTTTGAGAGGGAAAATGTGAAAACCAGCTAGAAAACATGGGCAAAAAGCATCAGCAAATATTTCATGAACAAAGATGTAGAAGTGACCATTATATTTATGAAAAATGTTTGCTTCATTCACTATAGGAGAAATGCAAATTAAAGCTACACTGAAAATAAACATTCAGAGAAATATATGATGAGAGAGCATGTACCATTCAGGGTAGCATGAAGCGATGCTCCTGAGTGCCCAACCTCAAGCTTCGGGTGAAAACAAACTCTATACTTAACCATTAAAAAAAGAAGAGGCCAGGTGCGGTGGCTCATGTCTGCAATTCCAGCATTTTGGGAAGCCGAGGTAGGCAGATCATGTGAGGTCAGGGGTTCAAGACCAGCCTGACCAACATGGTGAAACCACATCTCTACTAAAAATACAAAATAATTTGCCGGATGGTGGCGTGTGCCTGTGGTCTCAGTTACTGGGGAGGCTGAGGCAGGAAATTCACTTGAACCTGGGAGGTGGAGGTTGCAGTGAGCCGAGATCATGCCACTGCACTCCAGCCTAGGTGACAGAGCAAGACTCTGCCCAGAAGACGAAGAAGGAGAAGTAAGAAATATACAGTGAAAACAGAGTGCATGTAAAGACTGCTGAAATCTGTATAAGGTCTGCAATTTAGTTTTTTTATTTTTGTTTTCTTGAGTTTGAGACAGGGTCTCACTTTGTCGTCCAGGCTGGGATGCAGTGGTGCAATCATAGCTCACTGCAGCCTCAATCTTTCAGGCTCAAGTGATTCTCTCACCTAAGTCTCCCAGGTAGCTGGGCTACAGGCATGTACCACCACACTTGGCTAATGTTTTTTGAGTTTTTGAAGAGATGGAGTCTTACTTTGTTGCTTGGCTGGTCTCAAACTCCTGGGCTCAAGCGATCCTCCCGCCATGGCCTCCCAAAGTGCTGGGATTTGCAATTTAAAGTACCATATCAGGCCAGGTTCGGTGGCTCATGCCTGTAATCCCAACACTTTGGGAGGCCATGGTGGGAGGATCACTTGAGCTCAGGAGTTCAAGACCAGCCTGAGCAAGGCAGTGAAACCGTGTCTTTACTAAAAATCCAAAAAAAATTTAGCTGGGCATGGTGGCACACGCCTGTAATCCCAGCTACTCGGGAGGCTGAGGCACGAGAATTGCTTGAACCTGGGAGGCAGAGGTTGCAGTGAGCTGAGATTGCACCACTGCACTCTAGCCTAGGTAACAGAGTGAGACCCTGTCTCAAAAAATTTAAAAAAGTTAAAAAAAAAAAAATTTCCATATCAAAGTCAATTTCCTGCTTTTGATGTTTATACTCTGGTTACATAAGTTGTTATCACTGGGAGAAACTAGATAAAGAGTACATGTTTTCAGAAACAAAACCTTTAAATAAGCTACACTGAGATATCATTTCTTCCTATGAGATTAGAAAAAAAAGTTTAGAAGCTTGACAACATAGTCTGTTGGTGAGCCTGGAGAAATAGGCACGTGCACGTTGCTAGTGGGAATGCAGAAGGGAGGAATAGTAATGTCTAACAAAATACCATGGGCATCTACCTCTGACCCAGCAATCCCTTATCCATAAGGTTATTTATTGCAGTATTGTTTGTAATGTTAAACTATTGGAAACACTCTCAAGCCCATACATAGAAGCTTCATTAAATAAACCACACAACAGCTGGGAAATGGAATACTATGCAGCTGTAAAAAAGAATGAGGCCAGACACAGTTTTACACGCCTGTAATTACATGCCTGTAATCACAGCACTTTGGGAGGCCAAGGCAGGCGGATCACAAGGTCAGGAGTTCAAGACCAGCCTGGCCAATATGAGGAAACCCCGTTTCTACTGAAAATACAAAAATTAGCCAGGCATGGTGGTGGGCACCTGTAGTCCCAGCTACTCTGGAGGCTGAGGCAGGAGGATCACTTGAACCCGGTAGGCGGAAGTTGCAGTGAGCCAAGATCACGCCACTGCACTCCAGCCTGGGTGACAGAGCGAGACTCTATCTGGAAAAAAAAAAAAAAAAAAGAATGAAGAGGCTGGGCGCAGTGACTCATGCCTGTAACCTCAGCACTTTGGGAGTCTGAGGCGAGACGATCACTTGAGCCCAGGAGTTCAAGACCAGCCTGGGCAACATAGTGAGACCCTGTCTCTGAAAACAAACAAATCCATTCAAATCAACAGAATGGAGAAAACCCCTAAAGGTGAACACAAAGAGAAACAAATAAACCTGACCGTATTTAAATAAACATAAACAAACACACTAAAGTGGATGGGAGGTCTGGGGAGAAATAACCCAACTATCTTTTTTTTTTTTTTAAGACTGATCTCGGCTCACCGAGATCAGTGATCCACCTCAGGTGATCCACCCGCCTTGGCCTCCCAAAGTGCTGGGATTACGGGTGTGAGCCACCGCGCCTGGCCCCAAGTGACTTTTTAACACAGTTCTTCATCTGCATACTTTCAATCTAAGGTAGGAATGGATGGAGGGAAGGAGGAGTGGAGGGAGGGAGGGAAGAAGGGAAGGAAGGAGGGAGAGAGGGAGGAAGGAAGGACAACTGAATCTTAAATTCTTTTTTTTTTTTTTTTTTTTGAGATGGAGTATCGCTCTGTCACCTGGGCTAAAGTGCAATGGTGCAATCTTGGCTCACTGCAACCTCTGCCTCCTGAGTT